CAATATTGTTTCCGTCAACGACCATTCTAATCATTGTCGCATTGACATATCTACTTAAGAATGACCGCCAATGCTTCTGTTGGGCATATTCTCATGGCACCTGTGATGCAGATGTATGCTAGTCTCTGTATTTTGCACAGGTTTTGCCTTGCTGTACGTTGTTTTTTTATGTACCTTATCCTCGTAGGAAGTTTGGCGATCACTTTTTCCCATTTTATTCTGTGAGCTCTACTCTATCTCGAAACATTCTATTGCTGTCCTATTATTGTTATTTCGTAAGAGTTAAATAGTTAAGTGTAAGATTTATAGTTCATAAGCCTATGAAAATGCTTTATCTGTATGAACATTTTTATTTGAACATGATATTATTTAAAAGCTTTCCATAATATCATTCGTGTTCTGCTTGGCAATGACGTTCTACCTATTGACTATTTTATAGCCCATAGAATTGCCACGGTTGCTATAATGCAGTTCTAAACAATTATTCTCTAAACTTGTTTTTTATTAACTTGATTGAAAGTAAGTATTGCAGATTTAAATTTTATCTATATAATATATATGTAAAAAATGTGTTATATTAGCCCCAAAATGAAACAATCAACCACCCTAGTTAACAACTTTTATTACGTCATACAACTTATACATATATGGTACGATTTGCCGTCCAGTAAATTCTGTTTTACTTTAAAACAATTCTACCTTCGTACATTTTTTCATTTAAATTATAAAAAATACTTGGAAACTGTTGCTAATTATCCCTTTTATTAAAATAAATACAGCCTCGTGGCAATTAAGTTTTCTATTAATTCTACCGAAAGCCAATTCCATCCCATTTACTAATTGTCTAACAATGAGCTTAACAGCTAATCCAATAACTGCACTGGGTCGCTCTAGCGCATTAATTTAAGCAGCCCGACCTAATTGCCAAATTTCTTATATCTCTAAGACGATTTTGAGCCAAATTATAAGTTCGTTTCCGTTCGCTTCACATTTTGCGCTGCAGCTGAAGATTACGCGAATCAAGATGGGATATTTTATTTTATCCGATTTTTTTGTATTCTCTTATTCAATATAATTTATTTCGTGGAAACAAAGAAGGCATGATTCAATTTTGAAATTCATTCTTTTGGATAGGGATTGAGCCCGACTTGTATGAGAAATGCAAGAGAATATTAAACTTTGTGAAATCTTATATGTTTGAAGACAATTTAAAATAACTTTAAGTACCTTTAATGATGTCCTTTCAGCTACTCCTACCATACGCAAGAGTAATAGTGATTTGGTACACTAACACTAATCCTACCGACTGCGCCAGGTAAATTTGATTTTTATTAATAGCCCAATAACTTTACTTGAAATTTGACGAAAGAATTAAAAAAAAATAGAGTCGAAACTTGTGTTGATGACACAGTTAGTTTCTATTGGACAAGTATATGATGAACACACCGTAGTGATAGATACGGGAAGTGTCATGGTCATTTTGTATTTTATGTTTTGCTATTTTTGCATTTTTTTGCTGACAATAATAATATGATTTTTCAATAGTAATAGAAAAGGATTATCAACGCGAAAAAAATTATCGGACCAAAAAATAAACTATCGAGAAGAGATACGAACCTAGATGTTGATTTTCAAATTCCTTGCTTTTTTAACATATTCCACAGAATTATCCAAACTTTCACCAAAGTAACCCCATTTTCTGTTCCCTCGTATAATTGACAGATGGGAAATTTCATTTTTAATTTAGAAACTAGATACTAAAAAGTCCAATAATGTAGCTACAAATTGCTTAAAAGATCATCAACATCGGTCCATTAGAACATAATACTAAGGGTCGGCATTTCTGGTCTTGGGTGCTGATTTTCGTGTGTACGAAGAGTCCGGTCAACACGCTTATTAAAATAAGATGTACTGAATAAAGACAGAAGGCAAATATTTTTCAAAGCGCATGGAATCTAGCGTCAAATTAAGTGATTATGTAATAAATACTTCGTATTTTTGCTCCCTCCGACTTACTAGATTGCCATAGCGATTCACTCCTATACATGTAAACGCCGACCCAAGGTTTCGCTTGCCAGCATGGTATATATAAGTTTAAATTACATCAAAATTTTAAGGTGCCCGTTTTTTCGTGCCGGTGAGTGTATAAATAAAAGCACATAAATATAGATTGTAATTTTGTTAGTAGTAATTGGTAGTAATTATCCTTTATTAAATATAAACACCCAAACAAAAAAACAAGATATTCTAAGAGTTACGAGCATTAAAATGTAATAAATGAAGTATCCTACTAATAGCGGCTATTAGCCGCCATATTGGACATTTCTGCAGCTCAATAATTTATGTAAAAAGAGTAACAAGGAAAAATTTAATATCACGGAGTTCTCACTGGGCGAATAACATTTTTTTCCGGTCGGTATTTAGAATTTTTCATTAGGGACGCGCTTAGAATAATGAGGATGTTTTGTAAATGCCCGCGAAGTATTTCATAATAAAATATTTATAACAGTTTTTCTTCTTTTTGAATTTACGCTTGGGCGGTTAAAATGATAATATGCCGTATATTTCTTTTGAAAAGAAAAAATAGGAAAATTATTTAGTTCTTTCTCGTTTTATGAGGTTTTATAATCATAACATTTTACCTCATACTTATAAATAAAGTATGTGTGGTTTTAGGGAATAAGCTAAATAAAAAATGTACTTGTTTAGAGCAGAGCATAAAATACAAAAGCGATCAACAACGAATAGATTAGTTAGTTATTTTGATTTTGCTCTTTTAGTTGGCAATAAAATTTAGAAATTCGAATATGTATTATCACCAATGTCAAAACAATCCAAAAATTAAATTATATGATTATTTTTTTACAATATTTCAATTCGTTTTTCATAATAACGTGAGACGAATCAAAATGAGAGGAGAAGTATATGGATTTCTTCCGGAAAATATTATTGTTTAAGTACGTATATATAAATATTCTTCATTAATATGAAAAACCCGTCTTAAAACTAAAATCTTTGTTAAGACACAATAGTGTGAAAAACACATTTTGCAGTGCTGCATATAAATACTGCCTGCTTAAGAGTTCAAAAAGTGTATTTATAAAATATATCTCCGTATTTTCGCTCTTTAGTGATATCTAATAGTTGATATTTTTAATAATATTCCGTATGATCGAAAAAAAAAACAGCGCATAGTTGGCTCGAAAATGATGTTGCTCTTTGAACAAAGCGTCACAATATGACATGGCCAGATCTATTGTCACTTGACGTTTAAAGTCATAGGTTACTGGGTAAAATCAAGAAAAATATACGCTTTAAAACTAAATCTTAAATAACTCAAAAACGGTTTATTTGAGGTATGTGACCTTGTATAGTTAAAAAGTAACAAACTGAAAAGCCTTTTCACTAGTGAAATAAAAAAGTGGTTTTCCATTTGAAAAAAATGATTTATGATAATTTTTTAATCGCACAATTCTATGACACCTGCGGCCATTATTATATGACATTCGAACAATTTAATTTTTGAAATACATAGCTACATGTTTTCTCTTTATGGCAAAGTGGCTGTGGTAATCACTAAATTTGACGTTTAGGCTATACACATATTTATGACAGGCAGTTTTTGTCGTTCAAACATTTTAAATATTTTTTTTCGCAAAAACGGTTAATGTTAGATATAGAGTGTTTAATATCAAAATTCATAAAATTTTACAGAGAATTTAAGTATATAATAAAAAATGGGGGTACCCATTTAAAATAAGAAAGTTGTTGTCAACTTCTGGTATATCCGGAAGTGCCGCCATATTGAAAATATTTTTAGTCGATAGATCTCGTTGTGAAACTATGATGTTCTATGATTTTTCAGTGCTGGGTGTTCTTACTTACCTGCAAAACTGTACTTAATATAATATAAAACAATAAAATTATATAAGAATTCTTGTGACTTAACTGCTGATATAGAAATTTAATTCTACGCTGTGTTTGTCATAATGTGGATCAACCTGCTCTCACTACCGGTTTCGGAGCCCTACTCCATCAGCAGGTGAGCTTGGCTAGATCCACAAAATAACAACCCCAGCGCAGTGTAGTTAATTCCGACTTGTCGGAAAGTATCAGGAACCTGAAATGGGACCATGACATTAGGAAATTAGCAGTGATAACTTGGGCCCGCATAGCCAACAATATACAACAATGGGCCCAACTACAAAGAGAGCAATATGCGAGGGAGGCTACACCATAATTGGAAATTGTCCAAATATACGTTTCTGATATTTAATAGATAATTAAAAGCTGCTCAAAATTCCGATTCTGTATTGATGAAATGATACTTTTCCCGATTTCTCAAAATTTTTCGATCCATTATTTGTTTTACCATCAGTACCAGTCAATCCTAATTCCTAATATTATCTAACACAGTATTGACAGTTATTTTAAACATTATTGATCACTTCGCATAACTTTATTTGTAGCAGCTTTAAAAAGAAATAATAATGTTAACACAAAAAATGAATATATTAGCAACTTACGTATTCATACAAAGAGGTGCGTTTCATTGAAGGCCGTGATACACTTCAGCAACATGCTTAAAAAATCTCCCACAGTCTCAACATTCTTTGGCATTCTAATTTTCCGAGATTAGATTATATCAGTAACATCTTGAAAACAAGGTAAAACTGTAAAGAATGTGAATATCCCATTCAAATGTTATACAGCGCACGATATAATAATGCATTCTTAGAAAAAAAAATAGACATTTTTTTCATCTTAAGTTTCTTGAATGTGTGTATATCATTATGTAACTATCACATAACTGTTAAGTCGAGAGTAAATAAAAATATAAATAATATAATAAATTTACTGTTTTCTTCAAGTATACTTTAAAAATTGTATTGATTGAAAATTACAGATGAACCATTATGGAGTGAACTCTCTGTCTCTTAGTTTAAAATTAATTTATATGAAATTAAATGAAATTTTAACATTATTGTCTTGGTTTTCAGATCGAGATTTTCCGAAGATTCACCCAAAGGATGTTGCGGGTTCCTGTCTTGGAAGCCGGGATCCCTCAGATGGTTTATAGCTTTAATAGCCTTGGTGGCTGTATGTTGTGTCCTGGTAGGAACAGCCTTGGGTGCCATGAGACCTGCGGGACGAGATCACTTGACAGTTTCTCTACTAATGATCGGTAAGAAATCATATATCTCTTTATTGAAGCATTTAATTCAAATAGAGAAATAAAAAGTTCTAATATGCTATCTAAACAATAATAAATAAACGGAATATGAAATTGAATAGAAATTTGATGGCCGTTTTAGCGAAGGTTCAAGGAAGTTTAAGGAGGGTTAATTTCAGAGGATTAGAGGGAAATAAGTATAATTTAATTTAAGTAACGTCATGTTTAAATATTAAGAGGTTTTGAAGTGTCAAAGTATCGAAAAACCTATTTCTGGATATAATCTTAAATGTTCTGTTCATATGCGTTCTTTCTAGATTTGAGTTACTCTCTGTGAAATTGCCTAATAGTTGTTGCAAAGTAGAAGTATTGTGCGTACACATATTTAATTTCTGGATATCTATATCTACCAAAGATATGTTTCTATATGATTGTTAACCTATTTTATTTCTCTTTAAGTACTTTAAAAGTTGCCATTACATATGGGTGAAAAATATCTATAAGTTAAAAGATGCAATGCCATTATCTTATATCTTAGTAGTACGAAGTTTGCGTAAAATTGACGTTCAAATTCTTGGTAAACAGTCGTTAAAAGCATTAAGGTGTATACAGTGAATTTATTGTAGAACAATGTACATAAATTGAATTTGCACAAGCCAAGGGCAGTCGATTTTGACATTTTTTATTACCATTATCTAATAAGTTGATGTAAATGTTATGTACCTATAACAAAAAATTTACTTTATATTTATTATAGTTGTTATGGAAAATATTATTGCAGAATCAAAATTCATGTATAGAAATTCTTAAATATACAGGGTGTCCCAGAAATAAGTGCAAGTATTTTAACTGGGAGTATAGTTCAACCCCAGAAACACGCCTATGAAGTTTTTGCGCGAAAAAAAAATTGAAAATTCTAAATTTTTTGGATTTTTTTTAGTTTTTAGTTAAAAAACATAATTTCTTGATAATATGGCAACATAGGTATTAGATTAAATTTACAAGAAAGAAAATCCAGAAAAGATCCAGTGGTTCTCAAAATTTTAGCAAAAAATTATTTTTTTTGGAAATTTTGAAAGTAAAATAACTCCGTTATTTTGGACTTATTTGAAAAACGATAAAGAGAAAATATGTTTCTATTATCGAGATCTACCACCCTTAAAATATTTGCATTAATTTCTGGGACACCCTGTATTAAAAATATTTTCACATAAACTAAGAAATAAAAATTAACTTTAGATTAACGAGATGTTTCAACAATGGCTAAACATTTTTGGCTGTTTTATTTCTGAAAAAATAACTAAAACGGCCATTTTGCCACTGAAACAGACGAAAAAATAAAGAAAGTATTTTTTTGCAAAAAGGCCCCCCAGCTGCATTAGAATCTAAACGTAAACCAGTTTCTCAATGGCTTTTTACTTGAAAACTAAGTAAAGAAAATTTTGTAAAGGCATTAGGGGTGATGATAATATCGGGTTATAATTCCTGTTACAGTGAACAGACACTGTTCAAAATATCAATGCTGGTCTCTTTGGCTTTATCTATCATCGTTGCATTTGAAAGTAAGCTGTATTTAACTAGCTACATTCATAGAAAATTCGTAAGTTTTTGAGATGATCTGTAGTATTCTTTATTTATTTCATTATCATCATCATTTTGAGCTTATTCGATCATTTCCAATTATGATGTAGCATCCCTCGCATATTTAGATACTCTGTTTGTAGTTGGGCCCATTAGTTGTCTATTGTTGGCTATGCGGGCCCAAGTTATCCCTTGCTAATTTCCTAATATCATGATCCCATCTCTAGGTCTCTTTGTAGTCCATCTGTTGTTCCTCCTTCTTACCAGGTGTCCCGCCTATTGCCACTTGAGAGATTTGACTAGGGTATTTCTACTTGAGTCTTATGTCGTATCTACTCTATCCTTTTCCGGTTTCTTAGTTATTCCCAGCATATTTCGTTTCAGTGAGCATTATGTGACCTGCAGTTTCCTTATGATGTGCCTTTTCAGTGTCCAGGTTTCGCATGCATAAGTCATCACTAGTAATATACATGCCTTATTTAATTCATCTTTATATTATTTGAAGCCAAATTATCATTGAGTGCGCTGAGGCGACAACCGTTCGTGCCATAAACTTTGGTATGGCTAATGTCGAAGTTGGAAAGCTCGCCTTTCTGTGGAGCCGTCTCAGATACTGGCTTTTTTCAGAACCTTGAGACTGTATGATGAATTATAACTCGTTATAACTCAAGCAAGGGGAACACACAATAGAGATCTATAAGGTCGCGGTGATTAACTCCCCTCCTAAACATTCTACATTTTAGATTGGGGAAGTCAAAGATTCAGTTGGATCTTTAAAATTATAATTGTTGAGCAGCGCAATTGTTTTTATTAGTATCTTAATTTGATTACAGTTGAGGGTTGGAACCTTTGGTGTTACACAGCAAAATAAAAACAATTAATCATCAGCAGATGATTATAAACTCAGTTTATAATCATCTGCTGATGATGCTAACATGGTTAGCGAAACGCGCGTCCAGTGTAAAAGTAAAAGTGTTTTGGTGTATTGTGGTGATTTAGTGTTTTTATTTTGATCTTAATTTGAGTTATGTGCTCTTTAAATACGTATTTGGGTCGACCCAACATATTCCTGATTATAGCTCTAAATTAAATTACATAAATGCCCGGTCTTTCTTCTTTCTAGTACGAGTATTTTGTCTCTAGGATTAGCTAATATTTGTTGTAACTGAAAATAACAAAACTTTGAACGGTGGTGACACATGATTCGACATAATTTTTTTTTACTTAATAGGTCCAGAATGCTTCAATTTTAATGAAGTTATAGTCAGTTTTTAGTAAATTGTAAGGTGTACAAATTAGAAATAGATGAAGGAAAATAAAATATAATTATCTACTAGAAGTTTTGATCTAGTCTAAGAATTAGGGAGTATACTTCAAAGACCAAACTCAATGCACTTGCATATCGATAGCGCTTTTTGACGTTCCACGTTTTTCACTTAACATGAAAATGAAAATCTCTTATAATCCTCGATTGGGCACCGATCCAGGCGGCTTTCGACAACCGCTCGTATTTATCGTAAATAAACCTAATTCCATACGAGACCTCGTCGTCGTAGTTGTCATTTTCTTCCGTGGCTCAACGACGTTCTCTCCACTTTTCGATTTCAATATCCGGTCCTCTTTCTTGTAAACGGCCTTTCGTTGGCAGCCGTCGTGCCCCTCCAGGAAACATAAATAGCTCGAAACCCCTTTTTGTAGAAGTAGTAATCAAAGGCGCTGAAGACTATTCATAAACTTGGTTCGAGCCCGGTCGTCGCTCGGCTCGGATGCTCCGAATGGCGAATAAACAGCGCGGTTAACCGTCGCCGTGAAGGGCTCTCCAGCGAGGACGCTTATTAAAGTAAGAGGAAGGGCCAGGATAAGGTTGATTATTTTTAATTAAATCCCAATTGAAAAAGGGCCTTAATACCCATACTGCATTGTGCTTTTTTGTATTTTCAGTCTGTTTTCATTTAAAATATTTTATACAACATCGTTTTGCTTGAATCAATATAAAGATAAATTAAATAAAGAATGTGTATTACCAGTGATGGCGTATGCATGCGAAACCTGGACATTGAAAACGGACATCACAAGGAAACTGCAGGTAACACATCGCTCAATGGAACGAAATATGCTGGGAATAACCGAGAAAGACCGTAAAAGAATAGAGTGGATACGACAAAAGGCCCAGGTAATAGATGTCATCCAACACAATCAAAACCCTCAAGTGGGCAGGACACCTGACAAGAAGGACGGACAACAGACGGACCACAAAAAGTCTATCAGAGATATCCACCAACGAGGAGTTGAGAGACCTAGAAGAAGACCAAACCTTAGATGGGACCATGATATTAGGAAATTAGCAGGGATAACTTGGGCCCGCATAGCCAACAAGTGACAACAATGGGCCCAACTACAAAGAGAGTATCTGAATATGTGGGGGAGGCTACACCATAATTGGAAATGGTTGAATAAGCTGAAAATGATGATGTTTAAAGAGCACATGACTCAAATTAATATAATATCGAAAAGAAAAATCTTCCTTTATTCAATATTTTTATTACAGATCTGTCTAAACCCTTCATTTGCCCATTAGTTTTATAACATAAAGTTACACGTATTTGTTTATAAGCCAGTTTATAATATATCAATATCAAATATCTACAAAGTACTTTCAGGCATAAGAACTATTATATTAAGCTACTATATATTAGGTTATGCTAAAGATAGAAGACAATATCAAATATTTTTAATTATTGAAAAATTACAATATTTTTTTTAATCGGTCAATAAGTAGAGATGTAACGAGAACGCAATCCAAACAAACAGAAACTTCATGTAAAACCCAGAAAACGCACATTCTGTTGTCAACCAGCAGGGAATGTAAATTTATTAGATATATGTTTTCTTTCTAAATTGGGCTTTTAAAATTCTTTGGATCTTTACCATTCGTTTTCTGTCAAGACACCGGCTGTCAAATATTTATTCCCTTTGGCGATTGCTGCGTATAAAACTGTCAACTGGTGTTATAGTATATTTATTTTTAAAACAAAGGAATGGAGTTCGCCAACCGAAGTTATCACAATTATTCTTCTTTCTTGATATATTCGTTTGACATAAATGATCTTGTAACCAGTCGAAAGGGTCATTGAAATACCATCTTAAAATCCTGAAGGTGATTTAACTAGTGATGACGCTTTGGAACAGGATCTGTTATTGTCGAAACAGGTTAGTTTTGGAACTGGCTTGGAACAGGTTTATGTGCTATCCTATACCAGTTCCAGTTCCAACTGTTCCAGCTGTTTCAAAACACTGCAACTTAAATTAAATACTTAAAGAAATATATTCTTGGAATTGTTTAAATTATGTTATCTACTATATTTGTGATACTAGATTCTTAATAGTGTATTTTTCAAAATTAGATAATTATATATTATATTGCATTTGGCAACATCGCCAGTACGTTTTTTTGATGGCAAGAAATTCTCTTCGCTTATTCTGTTTACATTAAAAAAAACTCTGCGCCAAATATGTATACATACCGACAATCTAGGAATGTAAATTGTTTTTATTTTATATATGTATTTTAATATTTTACATATATAAAATAGTAAATATTAGATATTCTTTTCTTTCTGTATTTTTAAATATTGATTTTCTATTTAAAATTCATAATAAAAATTTAGTTGAATTTTAATTAAATATATCAAATATCGGCAACGCTGCGAAAACCGTCACCCTTGATTTTTTTACGTCTATGCACTATATTAGTGCACTCGCACTCAATCTCGATAATATAACGCCAAGCGACCGCGTCGCTAAAGCGATATACTACCTCGTTTCTCAACTGAAACTAGTTCTTTTTACTTAACTGTTCCAAGTCCCAAACTGTTCCAAGTCCCAAACAGTTCCAAGTCCCTAACTGTTCCAAGCGCTAAACTGTTTCAAGTCCCAACTTGAACAGAGGGACTTGGAACAGTTTGAGACTTAGAACAGTTTAACAGTTGCGACCTGGAACAATTTAGGGCTTGGAACAGTTTAGCGCTTGGAACAGTTAGGGACTTGGAACTGAGACTTGGAACAGTTTGCGACCTGGAACAGTTTAGGGCTTGGAACAGTTAGGAACTTGGAACTGTTTGAAACAGTTAAGTAAAAAGAACTGGTTTGAGTTGATAATCGAGGTCGTATATCGGTTTCGCTCAATGTTTCGCTAGTCTAACCGGATCGCTAGTTTAGCGGACGCGACCGTTCAGGTGTTATCTGTTATCGGGATACAGGGGCGTAAAAAACAAGTGTGGCTGTTGCCGTTATTTAAAATATTTAATTAAAATTCAACTAAATTCTTATTATATTATATAGTATTTTAAATTTATAATATTTTTTTTTAAATATTTTATTTTTTTAATGTAAACAGAAACAGAATAGGTAAGGAACATTTTTTATTATAAAAAAATGCTGGCGATGTTGCCAAATGCAATATAATTATCGCATTATAGTTTTTTTTTGAAAAATACAGTATAAGAACAGTCGGTTATTGTTTTGTATTATCAATATAGTAGATATTAAAAAAAATTAAACTCTTCCAAGAATTTACTCTTTAAGTATATAACAAAATTATAAATCTATATTAATTCATTAGTGCTTTTACAGGGTGGGTCTTAAATAAGTGCACATATTTTTAGGGGTTGTATATTTCCATTCTCATGAGTTTTTTTCGAGAAAACATGTTTTTGAAAAGTTTATATTTTTAGAAAATTAGATAGATTTAATAGATTTAATTGATTAGATTTTTTTTTTAATTTTTAGTTAAAAAACATTATATCTTGGTAATATAGCAACATAGATAGTAGATTAAATTTAGAGAAAACAGAAAAATCCTCAGTAGTTCTCATTATTTAAGCAAAAAATATTCTTTTATATAGATTTAAAAAGAGAAATAGCAACCGAATCAGAATGACGCAAGTACGGTATTAATTTTCGTTTTGGAACAGTTTGGAACTGGAACAGGTTTCTTGGAACAAGTATCTTTTGCAACTAGAACAGCTTGTACCTGTTATTAAAAAATCGCTGTTCCGGCCATGACTAGATTTAACTAATACATAGCATTCTTTTGAATTATGTTTTAAACGTGTGACGTTTATTTCTTTTTATTAGTGCACCAAATTTACGGCTCGGATGATATTTTCTAAAATCCTTAAAATATCCCGTATATTTTCGATCATTTCGCTTAGGATGCGAGTTTCTCGAAAAACAAAATTTGATTTACTTGATATGGGCATATTTTTGAGTAGAGAGCAGATAATTAAAATGAACTTACTTATTTTTTCTTACATTCGATGATACATACAGTTTATACATTGTATACATTAGATCATTACATATTATCTATTTACTTTAACATCTTTCCGTCTCTGGTTGAAAAATTATTATTTGTTAACTTTTTGAAAAATGTTATTAAGAAGATATGCCCCCTTAGTGCTAGTTTATATATTTTTGAAGTCAATTTGATTAAACTAGAAAATATTTAGTATTACCCTATAAAGGGTTAATTTGACCCTCTTATTCAAAAAAAAAGATTAGAATGCGTAGAAGAAAGGTACCTAGAACCATCTTATAAGAAAGGTAAAAGCCATCTTGTGAAGTTAAGATGAAATCAAGGAAATCAACCCGACATGCTTTCTTCCTTAAAAAATCTTTTTTAAGTACAATAATAGTTGTTTAAACAACAAACAGAAAATTGCTATACTCCTCTGGATACTTTAATATCATTAAACAATACCTCAAAATAATTAAAATAGCGTAGAGCGATAGTTGGGAGATATTTCTTTGAAAATTTTGAAAGTAAGATACCTATGTGTTATCAAAAGAAATCTTAGTACGTCCCTGGTGGCGATTAGTGCAAACATAGTCGAATGTCAAAGGAGGTAATGTAATATGGATGCCTGCCGAGGGACGGATGTCTTAATTATCCCATTATTAGTTGGGAGATTGCAGGTTCAGTAGCCACATAGTGATGAGGGAAGCGACTCCGGCGAAGCGTATTAAAGCTTATGGACACGTAGCGCTGGACCTCCATAAATTACACACTGGCCCAAAAATAATTGTCTTTATTATGCTTTACTTCGTATTTTAATACGACGCAATGTGAATTAAATGTGTTATAAATATCTATAGGCTGTCCCAATTACGAGCCTCATCATTCGAAGATTTTTGGAAAACTTATGTATTAAGGTTGATTCTCACTATACCTTCCGTTTCCATTCCATGTCCATTCCATATCCGTTCCGTATTTTTTATTGTATTGACCCTATACGTAAGTTTCCGTTCCGTATCAGTTCCATACTTTTTATTGTACAATTTAAATCATTACGAAAGTTTTATTTTAAAAATTTGTATCTTTTAAAAAAGGTAATTACGGGTCATCCGTAAGAGAGAAAACAAAATTCTCTATTAGCGAGCAATTCATAAGCGTGCTATAAATATTTTAAATAACATTACTTACTTAAACAAAAATTTCAAAAATTCCAAAGCAGTTTTATTTTTTTCAACGTTTTTCCACGTAAATGAGACATTATATTTATAAAAAGTTAAATATTAAGAAGAAAATCAATAAAAATTCATTAAATCTCGCAACTATTACCGATAACGACTGCACTGTTCTCCAATCTCAGTCTACTACCGTTCTCGTAAAAAAATCGTCAATAAAAATGCGATAAATTTGCAGTAAATTTTTTATTGGATTTCCTCTTTGTTTATTAATCGACTTTTCTAGTATATCTGCTGTTAAAATTATAAAAATATAAAAGGATATTTTATTCAACCTCTTTCCGTATCCTCTATAGCAACTGTCGTCATATTTGGGGGTAGGACATGGTTTATATCCTACGCCACAAATGTAACAGAATGCCAGAAATGTTGCGGTTTTCCCTCAAAGATAATTCGGAATATTCAATCTGGACCAGATTGAACCCACAGATTTATGCTTTGGTGTATGACCACATAATTTAAAATATTATAATATAAACCTCTTTAGAAATGTATTTTTATAGTATGGATGAATGTCTTCGGACTAAAGTTTATAAACTACACTGATAAAAGCTTGAATTACTTCTCAATAACTATCATTACATTCATAATGGTTAGTGTATCTTAATTATTATTAATATAGTTTAACTACTATTAACTCTACTTTAAAAGTAACTGGTAATTATAGTTGTAACTGGGAACCATTTTTTTTTTCTTTCATTCAACGCTGAGACCATTTTGAACAATAATTTAGTAAGACAAGCCTTCTTAAATATATTTTCCTTAGTATTTATAATTGATATTATTAATAAGAGCAAATTAGAAAACGATGGAGTAGATTTTAAAGATAATTTGTATCACTTGGTAATAAATAGTGACGAAAAAAAGACATTTTATTTATCCATAAAGACATTTTATACCACTAAGAAGCAGGCCAATTAGCTAGTAGATAAATATATTGTTTACATAAAAAAGACGAATCTATATTATAAGAACTGTTGTAATTCTCCTATTTGTCTTTTAGGTGTTGGAATTGTACTGATTACAGTCAGTGGAGTAGCGTGGCGATTGACATCCCACGATTCATCAACCTGCAGGTCGATGTTAGGATTAGGATCTACAGAATCAGTTGACGTTTGTACTAGACGTTTCGTGCCCAGATTGCCTCCCTCATACGGGCGTCCACACCATCCTTATGCAGCGATGATGTATCCCGAATTTCAATATAGGTAAGAATTCACTTGTACAGCAAGATTAGGTATATAATCTATTTAACGAGAGGATCACCGTTGGTATGTCATGACAGTTGGTCTGTCATTGTAATGTATACGTAAATTATATTTTCATTCACTTTTTTAATTTCGTCTGTCAAAATTGTCCTTTACTCGCTCTGAACAGAATTTTAGACGTACTTACTTAATAACGTTTGTTTTGGTATGTAGCTAGTATTAATTTCAAATTTCATTAAAATAGTTTAAAACCTTACTGAGCCATATTTTGATTTTTAGTAGTGATCTCTAGACGAAAAATAACATAATTTAAATATACCGGGTGCGTCTCAAAAGTATAATAATTATTTTAATGCAATATATATTTTCAGATAAAAAAAAACGGGATTTGGTATGTTAGTATATGACATAAATTAGGATTGATTGACGTATTTAGTTGTTCACTCACTTCCTGTTTAACCGGAAATGACTACAACTTTTGATTTTTAAATGGCACCCTCGGTATTTTTTCACTTTATTCGATAGAAAATGACACTCTCAATAGAATGACATATCACGTCACCTTTTGAAATTTATATATGGGTTATTTGAAATTGTAACATGCTACTAGTTAAAAGTGGCGAACGAATGGGATTATAAAATATCAAGTGTGCTATATTTTTGGAAAGGTAATTTTAAATTCTTTGCAGTTAATGAAAAATATAGAGGGTGCCCCAAATAAAAAATCATTTTTTTTGTTCATAACCCTTAAATTATTAATTTTAAAAAAATTATACTTAAACCATTAAATTCTATGTTAAAAGATACTTTGGAAATGTTTTCATAGAAATACAAAATTTTCCATAGCAAAAAAGTTACAGCGATTTGTTAAAAATGCACATTTTTGTAAAACACCCCGTAACTCCGAAACGGTAACAGATATTGATGTGCGATTTTCACCATCATGTTTTTGATGAAAATTGAGCTCCAGACAATGATATTACTTTTCGTCTATCTCCTATAGAAAAGGGCGTTTCCATTTAAAAGCGTCGAATTTGACCCACCCTGTACATGTCATACAATAGGGTGGTCGTTAAAAATTAATGCTTTTCCGGCGCTGCGCGGCGCTCCAAAAAAATCTTCCTTTTGCCGAGAAACTACGGGGAACTTTTTTTGTTTTATACAAAAAGAACACGTGCCGACGCGACGTCCAATTGAAGTTTGCTATGAAGTGGCTATTGAAGTGGCAATTTCAGTTGGCCGTCAACACGTGTTCTTATTGTTTAAAACCAAAAAAAAATCCCCGCAGTTTTTCGTCAAAAGAATGATTTTTTGCCACTTCATAGTAACCTTCAATTGGCCGTCAGCACGTGTCCTTTTTGTTTAAAACCCAAAAAAATGACCAAGTAGTTTTTCGTCAAAAGGAAGGTTTTTTTGGGGCGCAAAGGACCACCCTAAGATGCAAAAAAACTTTAATATTTGGACATATTTGTTACAATTTAGCTTCAGTTTGGAACTTTGTATTCTCAACTTAAGTTGAGATGAAGTATTTTCGATTAAGTTGATTACTTAAAAATTCTTGTAAAATGAACATCGTTGTTTTTTTCTTACTTTTCAATTATACTAGCCTGTATAAACTCTATTTTCGTAGACATCTTTTTCATGCATCAAAAATTGTGACATAGATTTGAGTTGATTTTTGGAATGACACTTTATTACATTATTTAGACCGCCTCCACCAAGCTATCAAGCTTCAATGCAAGAATACAGACTAAGACTTCTTCTCTTGGACAGAGGGAATACTCCTCAAATTCAAGCTGGCATTCAGAATGCCGTATCTCCTCCACCAACATATAGAAGTCATGCCGGCAGTCTCCTCAGGTAATTTATATTGTATTTGTCCTAAAAACTGTTGTGTATTAATTGTTATTTATTTAGGGCACCGCTGTCTAGTAGAAGAGATGCTACCCAATCAGAATACAGCTGTCCGCCATCATACCGGTCTATGAACAGTTCAAACAGACCTGGTACTCTTCAAAATGGTTCCATACTGCATTCGAGGGATCCGTCTTTGACTTTGTCGGATTCTAATCACGAATCGGTAAGAAATCTGGCAGGATGGTTTTAATTTGTTACGAATGCAGAAACATTTTCATAAATATTTAAGCAAAAATAAAACAATGATTAGATTATAGCCCAGTCAAATTAGACAAATCGGTGGAAAAAAATCCAACAGTTTTGAAAATGGTTTTAAATGATTCCTCTAGACTTGGGCTAATATGTGTACAAAAAGTCCCCGAAGATAGACGATGAGCTCGAGAAGAGGGGAGAGTTAAATGTCACTTTTATGACTTTTTAGCTTATATCTCGGAAAATATGAAACCTACGAAAAAAATATCCTATATAGAAAATTGAAGTTCAGAAAATTCTCTACAAAATTGGTTGAATGCATTTTTTTCATAGGTCTAACCTTTTGAGAATTACAGGGTTGACAAAATTAACACTATTTCTAATATTGTATTTTTGCATCTAAAATCCATTTAAAATCTAAATTTAACCTTTCTTATTAATAATGTTAATGTAATTATATAAGGGGTCCTTATGTTATTTTTCAAGTCTTCATTGCATCCTGACTTTTAGTCTTCTATTGGAGAGCACTAGTGCACACACGATTTAACAATAACTATATATAAGTTAAAGATTAATGCATGCCTGCCTTACGGTAAAAACAGCATTTGGCCCAGCTGCAAATATTGTAGAAAGTATACGAAAACCAAGGATCATGGTTCGTGGTCCATGATTGCTCAGAATTTAAGATTTCTATGCCCGGCTGCAGTATATATTTCTAATGTTAAGTAGGACGAAACATTTGAGGCATTATCATTTAATGTCTAGTTTCCTGAGGCTGTATATTGTGGTGATGTTCTACGTGATTCCTTCCTGTCGGTACAGTTGACTTAAGTGTTAATATTTACGTATCTGCACTTACCAATCTTCAAATCAGTCTTCCCTCGCAGAATATCAAAAAGTCAAAAAACAATTTACTTCATCTTAGGATATCTGGGCTCCCATGACTCCCCATACTTTGAAATTTTCGATATTATTCCATATTATCCATTTTAGACAAGTAAATTGTATTCAGTAAAAAAGTGATTTTAATTTATAATAATGCATGTATCGCTTACTTTAATTTAGTAGGTCTTTCAAATTCCTTTTTAATTTTGTATATTATCGTATAATATATTATGAAATTTAAATTACAAATAATCTGTTATTAAAGGTTAGGTGCTTTAATTTTCATTATAAGATTTTTGAATTGAAGAACTTTATGAAGGCATTTCGTATTTCCGACACAAAAATTAATTCAGAAACATAATAATTCAATATCTGTTATTTTATAAATGTATTATTATTTATTTTGTTGCTTTAATATATTATGTACATAATGTCGGTTTTGATTCTCTTAATTACCTCAAAATATAAAGCAAAGTAAATGAACAGAAACCATTACTTATTTTAACAAATAACTTAGGCGGTCAAGGAGTGATTATTATGTGAACGCATCACGTCTAAAATTTATAAAATCACATTATATACTAAAAGTTATACTTAATACTTAAAAAATCACGATATCGAGCTCTTCACCGCTATTTGAACGAAAAGCGTGCAATGAAAAGAAATGTGTTTTTACGGATTTGGAATATGCCATTTGATTTAGTATAGTGTGACCAACGGATCTGTAGCTACGGGGTATCGCCAGGGAAACGCAGTTGTAAACAAGAAACGCCCAATTTCATTCATAAAATAGGCATGGGTGTACGGTGTTTTATGAAAATAATGTGTATCATAAATATAAATTCTGATTAATAATTTTTTTTCAAAAAACTTTTTCTTGTTTGAATCGTTACTGTTGAGTTAGCAGATAAACACACTAAAAGCTTTTATTAAAGCTCCCTTAAATATTTTGAATAATTTTATTATTATGTGTTGTTAATATAATAGAAGAAATAATTACAGCTGGGGTTGGAACCTTTGGTGTTACACAGCAAAATAAAACACTAAATCAGCACAATACACCAAAACACTTTTACTTTTACACTGGGCGCACGTTTCGCTAACCATGTTAACATCATCAGCAGATGATCAAGACTGAGTCTTGAGGTATATTTATTTATATAGCTGTACTAACTATATTTTTTCTACAATACATAATTTTAGATATAATTATCTCCAGCAAAAAATCTTGAAAATAGTTAACTTTGGAAGCGCAAATAAAACATAATTTTACTCACCAGTAGATCCAATATTGCCTATTACACCAGATATGGTATCGCTCCGCCAGCACTTTTTAAAGGTTAGGTCATTGTCTACCCATGTTTCATTGAAATAGATAATACTTGGCGATATTTTCGAATTTCGCGTATATATTTATATCTCTCTCTGCAATATAATGGGCCGCTCCATTAATATTTATCTGTTTTTTAACATTTACGCCAAAAAAATCCATTTGATTTTAATAACCCCCTAAGCGTTTCCCTGCCAAAGGAAAATTCGATTCTTCCTGCAATTTTTGCAAAAGTTTTCTAATTGTGGAGACGACTATGAATTCGAGATAAAATATATTTATCAAATTCCTGACCACTTGGAAATCAAAGTCGTCGAGTTCACGTAGCCGTTTCTTTCCAGGGCTGGATATCATTTTATCGGGGTTAGTTTCCAGTCTTTTTTATCTTCTGTGGGAATTTTTTATAGCCGATACGCTAACTCCGGTATAAAGAGATATCCGCTCAAGTTTACGTTTAAGCGGCAACTTAAGCGAACTCTCTGTAGTTTCTTCGTCGCAAACCCTGTTATGAACACAAGGAAATAAACCAAATTAGATTTCATCCACGTTTATTTACATTTATTTTAGTTTAGCTAAAATATTTAGGTAAAATGGGTGCTTTTCATTTTAGCCAGTATTTAATTTTAGTATTCTAATAATTACATTATTATTATTCTACTTACCTATATAAATTAGCTATTATTTCTCTTGTCCTAGCTATGTAGCGTCTTACCCTTAACAAATTTATTCATTTTAAAACACAAATATACGATCAAACTTAATATCAATAATTAAAAACTACGAACGAAAAACATTATAACAAGATAACAAAACAATAAAACACATTTTAACTATTAAATATACAAAAATATAGGAATAAAATTTAGATAACCGGTATAAAATAATGAAAGAAAGTAATAATGATCAAAAGAATGACACCGCCACTGGATATTTCAATAGTATTCAATATTTCTACTCTTTTCAGAAGTGACCGTGAAGTTGGGGATAAGGCTAGCGAATAGGAAAGGCGTAAAAGCCATGGCAACCACGTGGTAACAAATCCTGTGACGTACTCTCGCCAATCATGTTCGATGAATAGGCGGCCATGCGCGGCGATGCCGGTTTGCCAATGATATCGTTGAAATATACGGCAACATAGATACATTATCTGTAAAAGTTTCAACTGTCTAGCTATAACGGTTCATAAGATAGACCTTTGTGACAGATGGACGGACGGACCGACGGACAGCGAAGTCTTAGTAATAGGGTTCCCGTTTTTACCCTTTGGGTACGGAACACTAAAAAAACCTGAAAATATGGTTTAATTTTTCCTAAATTTGAAAGTCCTAAGAAACAAAAGGTTAAAAATCAAAAAATTCTAAAAAGTTTAACTTAAAAACAGACAAGTTAACAATGTTTTTGAAAAAATAAAAAACAAATCACAACACACACGAGCTTTAGGATCTACGCGATATAATGGAATGAACGATAGCTAGATCGATAAATTCATTAAATTAAAGTAGGGAAGAGCTAATAAATAATTGACTTCCGACTATGTCAAATAATTTATTAGTTTAATAATATTCGTTTTGCACAAAATATACAGTTAATTTTATTTTTAATAATAGGTTTTTTTTTTTAAAAAATATGTCAAAATAACTTGTAATTTATGTATTTACTAATAATAAATCATAAGACAAATGAAATAGTTTGGTGACAAAAATATAATAAAATATTAATCGGTCTGGCATTCAAATTTATTTCGAAATGTGTTTTTATATTAAAATTTTGTATTTCTTTTTTTTTGTATTTTGTTTTGTCTATATGTATAGCGGGTTAATTCATTAATTATTTTTAGCCGACCATACCAACAGGTATGGTAAGCTATTAAGAGCGACAAATAAAGTTTTTTTAATTTCACTCAAAATGAGTTATTTGGGTCATAAATGACCTAAATATAAAATATTTTCATGATGTCTGTCTGTCCGTCTGTAACACGATAACTCAAAAACCGCTAAACCGATTTTAAGCAAATTTGACACAAAAATACTGTGGCACCCGAGAATCTGGTTATTAGTTTTTGGTGGGGGTGCGGGGTTGGTAAGGGGGTATGGGAGTTGGTTAAAAATTTAAAAAAATCGTAACTCCAAAATTACAGTAGCTAGCGAAACGCGGTTTTCAATTTAAGATTAGGAATAATATTTGCAACAAAATTTGTAATGACATCAAAATCAATCAAAGTCGCAGTTTTTGAGATATTCCGTGTTCCCGTAGTCCGTTTTTGAGAAAATCCGTGTGGAGAACTCCAAACTCCCATCGGACGCGACCCCCGGTGGCGGATAGGGGAAATAACCGCGGACCAAAATTGGAAAAATTCCTTTACTTTGAAACTAAAAGAACTGCCTACCAATTTTGTATTAACATATGTTAGTATGGGCGGCATAGAGTATACGTGCCTCCCGGCGCCAATTTTTTAACAAGTAATATAGAAAGTGTTTTCAGGGGATTGAACACATTCGAAGGCCAATTTTTAAAAAATGTCTTGTTTAATTGTTAAATATAATACAAGAAGAATATTATTTTAAGCAAATTGGCTGAAGTAAATACCGTATAGTCTAAAAAACGGCAAAGGATACCTTAGAAATGACGATCGATGGCATTTTATGCTTAAAATTATATGGTAGGTGCCATCGTCATTTCCAAGCCAGCTGTGACGACGTTTTATTTTCGATCGTGTATACAGGATGAGTCTTAAATAAGTGCAAATATTTTCAGGACTGGTAGATCTACATAAAAGAAACATATTTTCTCTTTACCGTTTTTCAGATAAATCCAAAATAACCGAGTTATTTTACATTGAAAAATTTCCAAAAAAAAGTTTTTTGCTAAAAATTTGAGAACCATTGTATCTTTTCTGGGTTTTCTTTCTTGTAAATTTAATCTACCACCTATGTTGCCATATTATCAAGAAATTATGTTTTTTTCTTCAATAAAAAAAAATTTCCTTAAAAAAATGTGAGTTTCAGGATTGTTCTTACTTGTGTTTTCTTTAACATGATTTCATATTAACATTACTTTTATTTTAGGTTGTTAACGTGGTAAATATTCTGGGCAGTACCGAGGAAGATATAGCCCTAGACAACATCACCTTGGATAGCTTAAAAATGGAACCCGAATCGACAGATATCAATCCTTTGAAAATGCTACTGAAGGGCAGCCAACATGAACTGGAAGGATCGAAGGATGGCAACCTCGTCACCATAGTTCAAACGAATGACCAGAGTCCGGTGATAGTGACTGTTAGCGGGTGTTCGCAAGACAATAGTTCTAGTGTACAAATTACAGAAATACCAACCGAAATGGAGATACTGGCACATTTATAGTTGAGGGTTATGATAGATTGGTGGACTATTTAATGAATATTATTTTTTTTATCGACAAAATTTCATATCTTCACATTTATTTTTTTTATCAATACTAGTTCAGTCATTGGGGATTTTTGCTTGGAAAAAAGTCCGGAATAGGTTTTGGGGTTCCTAACTAAAATTCATAAAATGCACATTTCCAGAATTGCCGCCGGCGCCGCCATCTTGCCAAGATGGCGCCCAAAATCGGTATTTGGTAAATATCTCGAAAACTATGCGTTTTTTGCGAAAATTTGAGGGGAGCAAAATTAAAGAGAATAAAATTTCATATGAAAAAGGTTATATGAAAATTTTCGCTAAAGTCAACTGTTTAGGCACAAAATCCCTGGAAATTTTACAATTTTGCGTAAAATATGATATATTATGTATAGTCGATTTTCCGAAATCAAATGTCGATTAGGGTTCACTAAAACTAGTTTTAGTTTAGTTTCTTCAATTTTGTCATGAAACAGTGGCGTATCATTAATTCGCTCATTAATTTATGAATAATTAAATTTAAATATTGAAAATGTGTAATTGTTTCCACACCACCCAAGAGGTAAAGTATATGGTGCGTTTATTTTAACGTGGTCTCCCCGGAGGCCTACTCCACTAAATAAATTAAAAACTTTAACTTATCTGCACAAGCCCGACGGATCTGGCTCATTGATGTCAAAGTCGATCGTGTCTGCTGTGCTGGGCTCATCGGGGTGGTCTCTCAAAATTTTCATAAAACCTTTTTTATAGGAAATGTTATTCTGTTTAATTTTGCTCTCCTCAAATTTTCGCGAAAAACGCATAGTTTTCGAGATATTCAACAAAATACCGATTTTGGGAGCCATCTTGGTAAGATGGCGGCAAGTCTGGAAATGTGCATTTTAGGGATTTTAGTTAGGGACCCCAAAACCTATAAACCAGCAAAGTTTCAAAACTTCCGGACTTTTTACCAAGCAGACCCCTTTTTTGATCCCCAATGACTGAACTATACTGTATTTTATACACGCAAATGTAAAACGCAATGGGATTTTTTTGTCAAGTTTAAAATTTTATATTTTTTATTTTTAGCCTTATTTTTATGATTTTTTTAGAAAACTGTAAATATGTAAATCTATTAACTTTAATTCATATGCTCAGTTTTTTATAAACTTTAGTATTTAGCCGATTATACATGATTAATTATTGATGAGTTGTTTTTTACCATAACTTTAAAACACCCTGTGCAATAATTTCGTAAGTAACTTTTTCTAAAACGTTATCTTTCGATTAGAACCATGTCTCCTGAGCATTTTGTTTTTTGACTCATATCAAAACATGCCTTGGTTAATTTTTAAGATGAATAATGAACTGGCCACCAAAAATTTGCAATTTTTTCCACTATCATTACTTTGTGATGTTATTTTTAAATATTACGCTGCAGCTTTGGTGACTCAAAAAACATTAAAAAGTATCGATACAGGTTTGGTTTTAACAAATATTAGTAACACTAACAGGACCAAAAATATTTAAAAAAAACAACTGTAATAACTAAGTGTACAAACAAACAAAAAAACTTGTGAAAAATACTTTAATATCATGTATTGCCTCCTCAGGCTGCTATAACTGTCTGTAAATGTCGGTTCATACTGCCAATGAAGCTGCGAATCTATTGTGTTATGTTTTCCCATTCTTCTTCAAGGACCAAGCGAATATTTATAATTTCGGCTATCTTCAACAAGATCAATAATTTTTGTACAATCTTCGACACTAAGATTCATATTTAATCGTACACAACAACAGTCATCAAAGCCACTTCGTCATTAGGAAGAATAACATAAAAAAATAACGATAATTGAAAAAATGGCAAAATATTTGTGGCTAGTTCATTTTGCTCTTAAAAATTAACCAAGACATATTTTGACATAAGTCAAAAAACGAAATATTCACGAGACATAATGTAATATTCAGGAAAAATAATGTTTTAGGAAAATTTTCTGACGAAATTATTGCACAGAGTGTTTTAAAGATAGGGTAAAAAACAACTCTTTAGTTAACCCTGTATATCAAGTCAAATACTAAAAGTTATAATAAATTGAGTTTACGAATTGGTTGATATAATATTTATATACAGTTTGCTAAAAAAATCAAGATAATTGAGCTAAAAATAAAAAAAAAAACAACACTTTAAACTCGACGAAAAATCACAGAGTGTAGTATTGTAAATAAATATATTGTCGGTTTGCTACAAAAAATCGGTATGGCAGTGGAAGAATGATCAACTTATGTAGTATACACTGAAATTATCCTAAGTATTATTATATTATCTCCATATATTCTCCACATTCTGCCGGTAAAGAATTTTAAAACAAAACTTTTTTAGAACCTACAGGGATGAGAAAATAAAAACGATAAATGTGTTGTCTATGAAAACTTGTATTTACTGATGCTTTGAAGTACTTAAAGAATAATTATTCAAAGTAGCTTTATTGACAGCTTTTTCAATTTCCGCTGTGACAAATTCGTTATCTCAATCAATGTTTTGAAACAAGGAAACTCCTCTGTTAGAAGACAGTGATAGTATATTTTATTTTAACAATTTTATATCAATCAAACCGACGATATGACCTATCTTTATAAGTATTTACCTCTAATTACAAATTCATGAGGCATTTACTATAAAAAGTTAATTTTACTAACAAGGATTTTTCAATATTAAATGACCACTTTTTATTATTTCCAAAATTTTTCTACTTAAAAAGTTTTTGATGAGGGCAATTTATATAAATTTCAATGATACATTTTTAAAATCCTTTTAATGCTATAAGTATTAAATCTTTTTATCTCTATTAATGTGCCAGTACAAAGTTAGAAAATAGAATTTAAATTCTGTTAAGTACACCAATTTTTATAATACATTAAATTAATTATTAAAGCAATACAATAACACAGCGAATATATAATATAGTAAAGTTCACAATATCTCATACAGTCTCAAAAAAATCTTTCTTCAAAGCAATTTTAAATGAAAAATACATAAACATCTTAAAAACTAAGTAGTGACATTTAAGTATATTTGAATTCTCAGCATAGCTATGTTCATAAATAACAGTTACCTTTATTATCAAGTTTAACAGCATGAATAATTAGGCTAGATCAAAGTAAAATACTCATGAAATTTTAGCTGTGTTATAACGAGATATTTTTTTGTAAATATATGCGTTCAACTGTAAGGTACATTGTTCTACAATGCAACTGTGTATATAGCCTTATATTGTTCATTAAATTTCAATATCTTTATTGTTAAGTAGTTTTAACATATAAACATATCTGAAATTTTTTATAACAGTAGAGAAAATCTATATGTAACATTACTATATCATAGGTTAAATTCTTCCGACCTGTCGCCATGAAAAGCACAACTTATCCGTGTAAATAACATGATGCTTTTTATGTAATTATGTACCATTGAGAGAGATACACCTACCGTTAAGGTAGCTTCTATATATTGTTAAAAGATCGTGTATATTTGCAATACGTGCCTATATATTTGTAGATAGTTTACATATATAAATATTAGAAGATATTGTATTATATATATTTAAGTTGTAAAAATAAATTTTTAATCGCAACCGTTACATTCGATGTTTTATTTTAATGTTATAAAGTACTTAGGTTAAGTTAGGTTGCTGGGGTTTTGAGATCATGTTTGATCCTTCACTCGCAGGCCTTGGGCCTAACCTTCCTCTCATTCTTTCTTTGCGTTAAAGCACTTTCAGCTCTTTGCAAAGTTCCCAATGTCTCTGATGTTGGCTTCCTGCTGCTTCCTCTAGTCCCTTCAAAACACCTTGCCCTAAAGTTTTAAAGCGTCGGTATTCCAGTGCCGGACGGTGGCACAGGAGGTGCTCTATGGTTTCTTCTTCCTCTCCGAATTCTTTGCAGTAGTCATCGTTGGAAATCTTCCATCTCACGAGGTTTACCCCCGTGGGGCAGTTTCCAGTGACGACACCTACAATTATGCGTACTAGGTTCTTGTTGTGCTCTAGTAGTTGTTTTGTCTTTTTGCTGTCTACCACTGAAATCCTCACGGTGTTGCCATGTCTCTTGCTGCTTGGCCTCCCAAGTAGCATTTTCACAACTTGCGCCCACATGTTTACTAAACACAACGTTGGATTAGTTACAAAAAATAGTTAGTTCCGTACCTTGGGTATTAAAATAAATGTAAACGTTGTTGTAACGTTGTGCCGACGTTGAACTAGTACTACAACAAAGTAAACGCTTCTGCGACGTCAAATAAACGTTGTCTTGTAACTTTTTTTGTTTAAGTGATTTTTAGGTGATTCGGACAACGTAGTTACAATGTTGGGCAATAAAGAGTTTTCCGACGTCACTTTCAGGACCAATTCCAACGTTATGCAAACGTCGTCTGTTTTACTAATTCCAACGTTGTTTAGATTTCCTTATTCTTACGTTGGTAGGACGTCGAGCCACTACCTTTTTGCAACTGTATTGAACCATAACCTTAAATCTTAAATTTTCACTTCATTGTTCTGTTCAGTCAGACAGTTCAGTGCTGTTTTTGTTTTTATAAAAAAAACTTTTTTATTAGGATATAGATCATTAAAATGGGACGTAAGAAAGGCACATATAAAACTAAATTTAAATATACATCGACATATTACCGATCCACTTACTTTATCCACTCCCTCGTTTATTTAGAATATAGAGGGCGGCGCAAGCTAGACTCTAGGATGACTATATTGTCGCGACCTAGCTGGGGGTTGTTTGCTAGGGTCGCTATACCAGGTTCTCTCTCTCAATCAAAACAACCATTGAACAAAATACACATTTATTTAACATAGAGTTCACAGTATAATACAAGTTTGGGGAATGCCAAGACTTAATGGTTTAGTTAACTAAGTACTTACAGGAACATCTTCAGTCTGCGCTGTCTTCTACTAACGGACTGATGACGCGAATTACTAACTGTATAATACGGCTCACATCGATGGACTAACTTACTCCCCTGTCTTCAGCACACTATCTTATATTTTTCCGCTCGTCCCAATTATCGGCGGGTATGTGCTCAAAAATCTCCTTTGTATATTTCCAGCACCGATATTTAGTACGAGCTAGCCTGAAATATCACGCTTACATCGACCTGATTTTAATTGTTTAATTAACAATGTTTATTATAAGAACATATTCAGGTCGACGTATACGCGAACGATTCCCTTGAATCTACATCAAATTGGTTTACTAGAATTATATTTTACATGATTTTTCCCAATTTGATGTAAACCCAGGTTGGCCTATATTTAAGTCTTGACAATATTAGGCAATCTTGTGACTAGTATACTACCTGTTAAGGCTGAACTCCGACTTTATTAGTCCAGTATGCGACTACTCGAACTACTCCATCTTAATCTCCAAAACAACAAAGTGAAAGCCGCCATGTTGTTGAATAAGAAAATGTTTCGTTCCTAAAATAGCAATTCCTGCTTTTTGAATATATTAACTTGAAATATTTGACCCTAAACAACACGCGGAAACAAATTTTGACTGCGAATAAATTATTCTCATTTTACTAAAAAAAAATTCAAGAAATTTTTTAAAACTTCTTTAATTTTAAGGCCCATTAGTATTTTTCAAAGTAGAAACAATACATTTATCAATAAAGTTGTTTGCGTGTAACTTTTTTACCTTGGGTAACGAGTTACAGGGTTGGTTAAAGTGTTTCAATAATTATGAACTTCAAACATCCTCCACACTTAAATACTTTTGTTTTCCTTTACTGCCATCTGGCATATGTCTCTAACTGAATCATAAAAATAATATTTTTACTATAATTATCCCAATTTAGGATAAAACGCGACTTAGACGCCATATTATTATAGTTTTGTATTTCTGTGAATTAGGATTTTAAACTAGCCAACGTCGGTATCCAACATCATTTCGACCCAAAAATTATTCTCCAAACTAGTGCAGACTAGGAGTGGCACGAGGTTGTGCCGACGTTGCGCTCCGACGTTTGGTCGCGTGACACAACGTTGTCCCGACGTCCAAATGCTGCTTGGGAATAATCTAATTTTTCAATGACAGTGGTTATTTCAGAAGTATGTTGATTAATATCATTAATATTAAATGCTTTTAATGCTAAAATTGCGGCAAGTTACTCTCTTCTTCAAAGCAAATATCGCTAATACAAAAAACTTTTAAGAAAGATGCACCTTGACGATAAGGTTTTTTACTTTTTTTAACCACAGGCTATTTTCTTTCGCCAAAATAACATTTTGTATTTCCCATTTCCTCTAATATGGTTTAATTTATTAATTTAAAAGGAGGCACTAAGCCCTAAAAATATTATGTAGAAATTCTATAAAAATTAAAAATATGCTATCAAATGCAATCCATCGGCTTTAAGTTTCGCTGTTTCAATGCGTTTTTATAGTTCCGAAAATAAAAAATGAGATTCAGTAGATTCCTAATTTAAATAAATAATTTTCAACTGAGGCCAATTTTTGCAACTGCTTTTACTGATCAAGATGACATTGTTTTTCATCAACAAAATAATGTGATAATTTACCAAAGAATTAGAGGTGTAAAAATATCATTGTGACTAACTCTAAAATAAATAGATTGAAATAAACAAGCGTAGTACTTGCTAATAGTAAAAATTACAAGGAGGAAAAATTGCAAGAAGAAAACTTGAATGAATCAGCATAATATTACATCCTTTTAAATACTATTTAATAGTAAATATATTAAAATTCTAATTATAATATAATTTTCCATAATTTCTATAACTACGATTTACCACTTTCATCCTATTTATTTGATAGATGGCCAGATAGACCTTCAGACACACATCAAGGTCGCTTTTGATAATAAATTGATTTTTATATATTTTTTATTATTTTCATATTTTGATAGTTTTATTTTTTATCTTCAACGACCTGGTTCATCGATTAATCATTATCTACATTTATTAAATTAGTTTTTAGAACTTTTTTTCACAATATTTGTGTCTCTAATTAAAACTACTTGGGGGATTTTGGTTTGGTCTATCGTTCACGTGTTAATGTTTTGGGTAAATCCTTTTTTAAGTTAATTTTAAAAATAAACAAAAACATAAATTTAATAAACATTAGTATAAAAAGAGATTATTTCCGAGTTCGTTTTAGTATATATAGAAAAACACACATGTGAAGAACAAACATTTCATTGAACTTCTCCAATAGAATTGTATAACATCAATTATTTCTATAATATCAATTATGTTCTTCTTTAGAAGCATATTGTTTTTGTGTATCGTTGGTGTGGGCATATCAATGATTGCAGTACCATCAGGTAACTAAATATATATTTTTTAACTACATATTAAGATTACAGTTGAGGGTTGGAACCTTTGGTGTTACACAGCAAAATAAAAACACTAAATTACCACAATACACCAAAACACTTATATCTTTAATTTTGTTAATTAATTCAATAATTTGTTAATGAATTCAATAATATTAAATTCATTAACAAAATTAAAGATATAACATTGCATGAAGGTGAAATTTTGGTCTCCTTTGATGTATCTTCGTTGTTCCCAAGTGTTCCAATTCCACATACTTTAGGCTACTTGAAGGAATTACTGAACGCAAACGGTCTCGACAACAAAACTGTGATTGAATATATTGAGCTTACATCGTTATGTATGAAACAAAATTGTTTTCAATTTAATAACAACTTTTTTGAACAGCGGGAAGGTACAGCAATGGGTAATCCATTGTCTCCATTTTTGGCTAATTTATTCATGAGCAGGTTTGAAGTGGAAGCTAAGAATCAGTTTGAGTATTTTCCAAGAGTATGGTTTAGGTATGTGGATGATATTTTTGCTGTTTTTGACACACATTCAGACATCATAGATAAATTACAACAATTATTAGGTAATCCAAAGGATAAAACACCTCCACTGGAAAGGTCGGGTATTTATGAAATTTCTTGTAAAGATTGTAATCAGAAATATGTTGGGCAAACTAGAAGATCAATATTAACTAGATTTAAAAAACATTTAGCTCAGATAAGATATGGTAGACCGGATAAATCTTGCGTTGCCGAACATATTGTTTATAAAGAACATTGTATAGATCTTAATAATTTAAAATTAATTAAACAAGTCTCAAGTTACAGGCAATTAGATGCATATAATAGCATCAGAATTAATAAATTTAACGATAGTATGAACAGAGACAACGGTCCAATTCCTTCAAGTTCTTTGTTCCTACTACTCTAGTGGCGGAAATCTAACTGTTACGCTCAGTGGGCTTTGACTCGATTTTGCCACGCCCACTCGGTGCCCACTGAGCGAGTATATAAACGCTGAACTTGTAGATTGTACTTTAGTTTATAATCATCTGCTGATGATGCTAACATGGTTAGCGAAACGCGCGTCCAGTGTAAAAGTAAAAGTGTTTTGGTGTATTGTGGTGATTTAGTGTTTTTATTTTGCTACATATTAAGAATTCCAATAAAAACTGTTCACTAATAAATAGAGGTTAACAGTAGAATATCTAAAGCGTCGCTGATTTTTTGTAGATTATTTCAAATTTAATTGAATTTCATAAAATACCTAATGAAAAAGTTAGCTGCATCAATGTCCCGAGGGGTGTCTCACTATTGGAATTATATGTACATTTTCTTGTCAGTCGCTAGTAGTCTTCTTTGCAGTCATTGCCAGTCCCTTGCTCAGTAAAATTATATTTTGGCAGTACAGGTACATTTTTTACCCAAGTGAGATACCCCTCGCAATGTCCTTATTCTTGGTTAGCTATGGATTTTGTCAAAATTTTATTATTATTTTCTTCAAAAAAGTCCTATGGCTATTTCGCCACAATTTTTATCATTATACTTCGGTCACGCTGATCTTCAATGTGATTGAAGAGGAATGTGTTCAGCTGATGAATCTAAATGATCTCTAATTCCAAAATGCCTTAATTTAATGTAATCTTTTTTTATTATTCTTATCGCCGCCGAATTGAGGGTTTCCCCTGATTATGCCGAAAACATTGCATCCTCCAAAGCTGTATGTCTTCTTTCTATGTTTGCACCGAATCCCCTATCTCTGCACCTTGCAGAAGTTTGTGCAGGTCCTAGATAGGATGGGAGCATAGTTTCTGCGTTTCTAGGTTTGCTTTCCCAAATAAAACATGTCTTTATTTAATATAATTTAATTGTGTTTTTTTTTTCTACTAAAGTTCAAGTTCATCAAGGTAATCCCAGATGTGTCTTGACGATACCTCTGAGCTCATGAGTGTCTTAATTGCCGTCTGATGATCTGTGCATATATTGATGAGCTTTCCTGAGTAAGGTCTTCTATCAAAGTGAATATGGTTAATGAGAATACGGTTGGATATTCACCCAAGGGAGAGGATAAGTATCATAGTCTTTCAGGCTAGTCCGTCCTAAAAAATGTTGTGTCTGTCCACAATCTTCAAACCATTTAAGTCACATTTTATTCACAAAAAAACATGTTATATTGTGATAATAAGAGAGTTTTGATTTCCGATCTCATTTGGAGGAGAGATCCCACAATGGTATCCTCCATTCTTGAGTATCCTCTTTTACCTGGTTTGCTTGTATCGGATATTTTATAATAATATAATTGTCTACTAATTTTTTTTCAGTTTCAGATCAACAACTGAGAATTCGAACTAAAAGGTCACCACAAGGAGGTAGGTATTTTTTGCAAAAAAAGAGCTTCGTAAAAACCTCTATATTTTAATTTTAAGGTGGTGGTCGTGGAGGTGGTTTTGGGGGAGGTAAGAAATTTTAAAGACATTTATTCAAATGGATACTGTCCGTAGAACAGCTCAGACCGTGTAAAAATATGTTTTTGATATCTATAAGAGGGTGTTTACAAAATGCAAAGAAAATATATATTTTCGATAAAAGTCTTAGAATATACTAGTATATTATACAGGGTCCGGCAATAGTGCGTCGGGCATCTGTAGCTCCTAGAATAAAAAACTTGAGAATTTTGTTTAAGGGCGAACCTAAAGTATGTGCCAGGATGTATTTCAAGAAAATATCTTAACTTCTATAGGGTGGCTCAAAAAAGTGTGAGTGGACCTTGATGATTTTTTTTAAATTTAAATTTTAAATTAACACCCTGTATATTATTGCATTTTTGGCTTCCTTTCAGGTCACTTTACATAACCTTAAGATATGAATAAATATATTTTGATAGTTTCAGAGGTATTAAAAAATAAATCAAAAATATATATTTTTCGGCCCTTCTTAAAAAAATTATTAAAAATACAAGAACTGTCCTGAAATCAGAACTATATTAGATATTTACTTTAAATGGTCTGTACTTACTTTGCTATAAATATGAAAATCGTAAATTATACAGAATGTTCAAATTTCTGCGGCAAACTTTCTAAAATATAAAATAATTTTTCCTCGTTTTTTTAAATGGAACACCCTGTATATTATTTTTTCAATAGAGGGAGAATTAAAAAATGAACATTTTTTGTATTTAGAGTATTTCAAAATTTTTAACGGTTTCGCAGATATTTGCGGTTTTATATTTCATATGGAATTTTCCACAGTAAATTTTTATCAAAGCCACCCAATGATTTTTCTCTCGTATTTTACCATTGAAAGCGCCATATGAAATAATACTGCGCGTATCTGCGAAACCGTTCAAAATTTTGAAATACTCTAAATACAAAAATGTTCATTTTTAATTCTCCTCTAATAAAAAAATAATATACAGGGTGTTCCATTTAAAATAACAAAGAAAAATTATTTTATATTTTAGAAAGTTTGGCGTAGAATATTGAACATCCTGTATGATATACGATTACCATATTTATAACAAACTAATAACAGACTATCTAAAGTAAATACCTAATATAGTTTTGATTTCAGAACAGTTCTTGTATTTTTAATAATTTTTTTAAGAAGGGCTGAAAAATACATATTTTTTATTATTTTTTAATATCTCTGAAACTATCGAAATATATTTATTCATATCTTAGGGTTATGTAAAGTGATCTGAAAGGAAACCAAAAATGCAATTATTTACAGGGTGTTCCATTTAAAAAAAATCATCCAGGTCCACTCACACTTTTTTGAGCCACCCTATAGAAGTTAAAATATTTTCCTGAAATACATCCTGGTACATACTTTAGGTTTGCACTTAAACAAAATTCTCAAGTTTTCTATTCTAGGAGCTACAAATGCCTGACGCACTATAGCCGGACCCTGTATACAACAATCTTAGAATACTAAATAAAAAGAATTAAGTAAACATTCACTAAAGAAGCTTTACAATTTCTGTATAACTTAGAAAATATACAATAGCTTTGTATATAAATAATAGGTGAAAAAAACAATAAATGCCAAAAAATTAGGAGTTGATTACTTAAAAAATAAGTACGGCGTTTTCCTACAAAATTATTTACTTATAAATAACCAAATAAATCATAATTTTATTGACTTTTCTTCAAAAGAAGTTTACAACACAGCGAAGAAATAGTATATGGATATAATCACGTTTTTAACTCAGCTACTTCACTTGGCTCTACAGCTGCAACAAGTCAGTTGAAAAATTGCTTACACATTAAGTCTAAAGACATTTCTCTAAAATCAAAGTCGATATTAAGTCAGTTCCAACATAAAATTCAAAAAATTTAAGTTTTAAATTACTCTGACCTAAACATTTTCTTTTCAAGTCGAATAATTTTTATCAAGGATTTTTGGACTTGTTTAACTGACAAGATAAGGTGTTTTTCGTTAACACGGCAGGATACCAGTCAATTTAAGGTCTTTTATAACAAATTGCAAAGTAACATGACATGTTAAAATACATACTTTTTATGAAATACTTCTTTTAGGTTTCGGTGGAGGTGGAGGAAGAGGATTTGGGGGAGGTATTTAGAGAAATAAAATTAAAAAGGCTTAAGTATATTCCTACATTTTGATAATTTTAGGATTTGGCGGAGGAAGAGGTTTTGGAGGAGGTATTTAGAGAAATAAAAATTAAAGATGCTTAAGTATATTGCTACATTTTATTAATTATAGGATTTGGCGGAGGAAGAGGCTTTGGTAGAGGTATGAAATAGTTTTAAAATGTACTGATTTCTTAAAAAAATATTGTTATCAAAAGATTCAAAATAATATAAAATACTCTACAGGATTGTTCACCAGTTATGACACGGAGTATTGTAGCTAAACGATTAGATTTTTACAAATTGTAAGTGTTGGGTTCGAAAGGACTATTAGAGCTACAATTTAAAAATATTTTTGCAAGATACAGAATGTCCCAAATAAATAAAAAATATCAGAGTTGTATTTTTCTAAATGTAGCACCCTGTATATTATTACATTTTTAGTTTCCACGATTAAAATTAAAAAAAAATAAAATAGTAAATTTGATTAAGTTTTACCGCATATTAATCTTACCGTTTTTGAAATATTTAGGTTTTTCAAAATACAGTAATAATTTTAATGCTTCATTTCTCTAGGCGTATTTAAGTTTTTAAAACCAAATATTGTACTTATGTATTTCTATTTACTAAATTTTGTGTTGCAATAATAAAAATTATACTACCTTATACAGAGTGTCTAAAGTGTCTAACGAGCTTTAAACGGCAATAACTTGATTAATTTAAATGGAACATCCTGTATATTTAGGAGAATAAGCTGCACAATTTAATTATCTATCAAATTGTATTATACCATTTTTTATAATTTTGACCTCATTTATCACTATACCCATGGAATATTGACATTTTTGATTATTTTGAAAGATGTAACAAAGTTTTAAAGAGTACAGACACTAATATTGTCGATATAGTTCGTATATTTTATTAAAAAATAAAAACACTGTTTAAATATTTGTTAAAGAGGACTAATTAATATGATTCCAGTATTCAAACTACATTAATTGACTGTTTGCGTCGATTAATAATAATTGCTCCAAAGACTAAAAAACTGAATTTTGTACGTGTATTAGACAGTGTAGTATAAAGTAACACCTTAAAAAATTAATTTAATTTTTTTGATGAATGCTTATTTATAATAACAGAGACGTTATTTTTCATAATTTATTATTATATTGATTTCTGATTCAAATCCACATTTATTTAGAATAATTTATTAACTAACACAATTAAGTATGTAACTAATTAATATATAGGCGGAAATTATGGTGGTATATTTAAGCTCTAATAGTCCTTCAACGAACCCAAAACTTACAATTCGTAAAAATCTAATCGTTTAGCTACAATACTCCGTGTCGTATGTGATGAACAACCCTGTATAAATTTGACTTTCAAAGGTTGGTATAGTACTGTATAGTCACTACTCTAAAGGTATTGGAGAGTTTCTGAAATACTTCTATTATTCATAGACTTAATATTTTAACTTATGAAAGTTGATGATTCGAACTTATTGAATCATCCTTATATTAAATTTGTAAACTATCTTGCCTCAGTTATTAAATAACATTAATATGATTAATAAAACAATAACTTTTTAGTCAATAACATTTCCACTAAAAGAGTACAAAAATAAATTGGTATTGATTAGTTTTGAAAATTACCACCCCTATTTCAAAATATAATACAATAAACGTTAAAATACAAATAATCATGTGTTTAAAGAATGTGCCATACAAACAATTAGAAAATATTATCTGAAACCACGATGCAAATAAAAACGCACTAGAAAATGCAACAAATTACAAAAAATACCGTCAATTTTTCGATTCAAATTTAAAATTGATAACAATATTTTAAAAGAGAATCAGCTACATAGCTTCCCCCTTATGACAAATTTTAAATCTTTAAATATACCTAAGCTTACTTCGGGTTTTGCATATTACCGATTCTGAACTCTTCAATTTTTTATCCGCGCATGCGTTTTCGAGTTTTAGAGAAGTTCAGAATGGGCGTAAAACCAGAAGAAAGCTAATGATACTTATTAGGAGAATTAAAATGTAGATATATAATAAATATTCTACGCAGGCTTTGGTGGTGGTAGAGGTTTTGGACGAGGATTTGGAAGAGGTTCGTTTTTTTCCATAATACAATTGTGCAAATACTATTAATAAATTTATCCATTAGGATTTGGAGGTCCCAGAGGATTCGGAGGACCCAGAGGATTTGGCAGACCTGGATTCGGTTTCGGACCCCCTCCACCGCCCTTTGGACTTGGAGGGGCAATTATCGTTGTGGATGACGGATATCGACGATACCGTCGTCCCTACTATTATGATTATTAGAATTTATTATGTTTTTTATTTATTAATAAAGATGTTAACCTAATTTGTTTTTATTTTACCCCATATATTGCTGTGTGCCATTCTTTTTTAACAGATTTACAAAATATTATCTTCTGAATCTGCAGTGGGATTCTGAAAGCTCCGTAGCAAGAAATTTCCTGTCTAGCCTATGCTATTCATATACGATTGATGAGTCACTAGACAGGAAACATGTTTACAGAATCAGGCCCCTGGTAAATACCAGATTCAGATCATAATGGGGGTTATGTTGAATGAGGCAATGACAAAATCATAACAATCCATTTTTATAAATAATGCATATACCTTTATGTTGGAAAAGGCCCATGCTTGATTAGTTATACCTTCCACTTATTTCTGTAATTTGTTTTTATTGTCTATCCATTAACTTTTATTCTTCCTAAGTCCTTTTCAACATTTAAAAAAAACAACGCTTTATTGTACAAAAAGCCAAAACAGCTTCATCGACAAAGCATTCACAAAACAGAAAAGCACAAAAACAAATATACAAATAATAAAAAAAATGTCATACAATCCAAATCAATTCAAAAAAATACAAACATAAAATTACAAACAAAACATATATGGACATTGCAGAACACATGCGTATCTAGAAAATTTTACAAAAGGAAAACTGCCTCCCTCTCTTTCCACCTTGGGGGAATATCCACCATAACGGGAATATTCTCAGCAGAGCTTTTTGCAATATTTAAGGCCATTCAACATATATTGACCTCCAGCTATAAGAGATGGGTTGTGGCTACCGATTCAGCCCATTTGTGAAACATGTAATCTTCCAATATCCGTCAAACACATTATCTTTGAATGCCCAAGAAGTACGCGTTTAAACGAAGACAACACGGTATCGTGGATAACCCAGAAAATAACAAGGCCCCAAATAACAAGGCTATGTTGGATTATATAAAGGACATCGACATATATAAACATATATAAATATTTACGGAGAACGTTTAGTTTAGACTTTTTTACTCTTTTTACCTATTTCATGTCTCATTAACAGGGAACTCTTGTTTTATCCATTCTTTCAATATGTCCTAACCATTTTAGTCTTTGTGCTCTTGCTACTCCCGTCCTATATCTTCGGTGTACGATATAGTTCCTTTATTTCTTCGTTTGTTCTTCTAGTCCACCATGTTGTCTATCTTCTTTCCTCTAAAAATCTTCCTCAGTATTTTCTTTTCCCAAATCGCTAGAAAATCGTTAAGAAAGCTAAGAAAACTCGTTTTCTTCTCTTTTTTCACAGTCAGAATGAGACTGTTGCAGACGATATTGCTTTTTGGAGCCAACTCATGATTTTAAAATAAATCTATATGTTGCCATCCTCATACTGAATAACTTTAGAGTAACTATTGTCAGATATAAGTAATGGATGGTAATTTCGAATTGTTTCTCAAGTCCCAAATATTTTACCTTTACAACTGATGACAATGATTTTCCTGAGGGTGAGATAGTTATATTGATTCATCTTTTATATACAGGGTGTTCCAGAAATAAATGCAAGTATTTTAAACTGGTAGAATAGTTCAACCCCAGAAACACGCATATGAGGTTTCTTTCACAAAAAAAAATTTTGAAAATCCGAAATTTTTTGAAAATTTTTTTAGTTTTTAGTTAAAAAAACATAATAACTTGATAATATGGCAACATAGGTAGGTATTAGTTTAAATTTACAAGAAAGAAAATCCAGAAAAGATCCAGTGGTTCTCAAAATTTTAGCAAAAAATCATTTTTTTTGGAAATTTTTAAAGTAAAATGAGTCGCCTAGTTTCAAAACCCGACAAATCCATTTTTCGAGAAAAATGAGTTATGTATGTTAATGGATTCGTCTTCTAGTTCTTTACAACCTAACATCATATATACTTTGCAAACTGCAACAAATCTTATCATTTCCTGGCAATAAAATATTGACTTTATATTTACTCTTTAACAACTCTAAAACAGTTTTTTCCAATTTCTCAACATTTGACTTTTGTGGATTTGTCGTGTTTTGAAACTAGGCGACTCAAATAACTCCGTTATTTTGGACTTATATGAAAAACGATAAAGAGAAAATATGTTTCTTTTATCGAGATCTACCACCCCTTAAAATATTTGCACTTATTTCTGAGACACCCTGTATAGATCTTCAATAGCAAGCAACTAAGATAGCAAGGGATTATAATTCCAACTTAATCTACCCCCAGACTGTTATTTAAATAACAACCTGATTAGGAATAGTTTAGTATTACTTTAAAAATATTAAACAATATTTATTTAAGCAACAAAATGTATAATTGAAAAATATTCAAATAAATAAATAATATAAAAGAGCAATGCGTGTCTTATAAAGGACGTATGACATTAAAACTTAAATGACCTTTTTACAAATGCATAACGCTTATTTGTGACGCGTATAGTTACATCCGAAACGATTGTTAGAAAATAGGTGCGTTTGAGGATAGTATCTAGGCAGCGGCTAATTGAGTATCTCACACACTAAACAAAATGCATAATAAATTATATAACTGATGTCATCACAGGCACCTTTTATTATTTTGCAAAAAGTTACTTACAAATATTCAGGGTTGTATGAGTTAAAGTGTAAAAACTATCTTTGGATGCTTAAAAGTGTAATTAATTATTCTAATTATGCCTCCTAATTCATTCTAATTATGCCGGCTTCAGATTATGGGACCAATGCTTTGCAACGTTGAACACATGACACGGACACATTATACATAGAACGTGATCGTGTGTCAAGGTTTCTATATTATAGGTTGCCTCGTAACTTTTGGACCAATAGGAACGAAGCTGCCACTACGTCACAGGGATGCTACAGAACGTATAAAATCATAGATAAAGGAATAAAAAATAAAATGCAACCGACAAAGAGAGAAAAATGGGCAATACAATAAAGAAAACACACATCAAATGAACTAAAAACTATGGACGCCATACACTATAAACAATAAAATACACAATGAATATCGATTCGGAAATGCACTGTCGGACTGTCGGCAGTTTCGATCCCTTTATCTATGTGCAGTAGCATCCCTGTGACATAGTAGATGACGTTTCCGATAATGGTGGATCGAGTTACCAGACAACCTTATCTTTTAATAACCTTGATCGTGTGTACCTGCGAAGTTTGACGTAGAGTCTGGAGGTATAGCTTGGCAAACATTCAAGACACAAACATTTTGGAGAAACAATACAACCAATGTTGAAAGGCATTACATATGTATGTATCTATTATAGGTAAATCGTGAGGATATTTGGCGAACCTTGCAGTCAAAAACAATTGGAGTAAATATTGCAACCAACATTGGAATCAATGCTGATAGACATTGGAATGAAATGTTGATAGACACATAATCTAGAGCATTAGTGATCTAATTTCACTTTTCTTATTTGGAAAATATTGAACATAACAAAATATTTTTAATAAATAGAATGATGAATGATAATAAAGAATTCACATGAACCAATTTGTTTTATCACTTTCCTAATTCGAATATAAATATTAGTTTACTATCTACAGCTTTGTTTAAGCTAATTATTTATCGCTAACACATTAGACTATCAATTTAAAACAGATAAACAAATCAATATGCTTAACTACAGAGTGGCAACCAAAAATTTTCGTTCAGTATTAGCCTTCTATATGTATTTTAAACAAGGATATTGGCAAGGGTATAGAGTGCATTCTATAGAGAATAGAGTACATAATAGACAGTTAAAGCAAGGCACAATACGTATACGTATCTCTCGACACGTATCGCAGAAACCTACGTTACGTCTGCCGTTGCGTTGTCGTGTAAACAAGAGTTGAAGCAAGTATTTTGACGTACGTAACGCTAATGGTACATTTGTAATTCTAAATTATTTTGTAAAACAATTTATTTAATTTTAAAACTGAAAATGGATATCTATTATTCCATTGATTCCACATTAAATTTATAAAAGTTCGAAAAATGAAGAAAATTATAAATGGAAATTATTTTATTACAGAAAGTAGTCCTTACAACTTAAAATGCTCTTAGTAATAAAAATATTGTAAAACAGACACAGTTTTATGATTATTTATTAGATTCCATCTTTTAGAATCCTCATATGGATTTTGGCTAAGAACTTTAATAAAATAGATTCCAAAATGAGTTTATTATGATGCTTAATATTTTCATACTAATTTATTGTAATAAAATAGGCCCAGTTCTGTTACACTGGCCCCAAAATTTATGAAATAACTTAATTACTAGCCAAGTGAGGAAACGAGTTGTTTGTGAATTTGTATGTTCGGCATCATTCGGATGAAAATCGAAACTCCTTCGGCTCGATACGTTTGCGTTTTGTACGTACGTAAAGGCACGTAAAGATACGTATCACGTATCCGTAAACGCAAGTGAATTTCTCACTGCGCAAGCGTACATGTCAAACGATACGTTTACGTCTACGTCTTCGGCCGTGCTTTAATCACCTGTGATACGTTCTTGATACTTCAAATACATAATAAAACATCGCATGTGCGTTTTCTAGGCACAACCTATTCAGTACCAGCCAACCAATATATGTATCGTCTCTTACAATAAATACAAAAATATTGGCTTAAGTCATAAAAACGACTTAAATAACATTATATTGATTTAAGTCTTTACAAAAATTACTTGACTTGAAATAACATGATTTAAGTCAAAGTCTTAAGACTTAAATCATTTGAACTTTATATTGAATTTGACTTAAGACTTAATACTTAAGTCTTTTTAAAACTGACTTGTTGCAGCTCTGCTTACAACTGAGCTTATTTTTATTTTGTAAAATTGATGTATTAGGATGATAATTGTTAGTATTTAATGTATAAAAAGTTTTAAAAATACTGCAAATCTATTTTTAAATAAAATAATCTAACAAGACTACGAATAAAATAACTTAATTTAAATACTGTTATCATTATGGTGATTGAACAAATATAAATTATGTTAATACAAATAAATTTCGATAAAAGTTTGTAGTGTGGTGTTAAAATAGTAAAGTTAGTTTTTGTTAAAACGGCTGAAAGGTAAATAATTTTTACATACTATAAATTTGCCATTTAATTTCAAGAATATTTCCAATAACACGTGTATTCTTTTGTTAAGGAATATAAGTGGTTGTTTTTCTTATATTTAAATATTATTCTGCAAATTGGTTAAATCCCCTTATACCTTGCGGCAGGCTGCGATCCTTCTGAGAATTTTTTTATGTAAATTTTCACCTATGGCGGTTGAATGATGTTTTTTGTTTTTTTAAGGATTCTTATCCAAGATTTAATAAACGTTATTGTGTAAAACAAGATATTTCCCTTCAGCCTATAGTTCTAAGTGCATCTTTGAAATGTATTGAGATTTTTATTACTTAAAAAAATGGAAAACTTGTTCATTAAAGATAACTAACTACTGTAAAAGTGATCGTAAAACATTTGCGATGGTTATTTTTATCGTCTACTGAATAGTATTGTATTAACATAATATAATATAACGTAATTCAACACTGACTGTAAATTAAAAAGTGTAATAATGAACTATTACTATAGAATTACTTTCCTGATTCAAAAATATGGCACTTTTTTATGCCATTTTTTAAAAAGGAAACGCTAAAAACAAATCTAATGTTTCATTGTCAGAATAATTTAGATTCGTGCAACCTGTTAAATCTAAAATTACTGAATTAATCCAGATTCATTTAAATACATAGCACTGTTGGCCTACATGTGATAATAGGACATAAACCTACAGCGTGATTAGAAATGCAGCAGTAAAAATACTGAATACGTTGTTCATGGTCCTGCATAGTAAAGTACATATATTTATTTTTGAATATCTATATTTTTTACTTTTGTACGCAAAAAAAATTGAGACAGACTGTGTTATTATTATAAAGCTCGCTGATATGTATGGGCACGTTCGATTATCGCAAAATATACGAGGTACAGCAAAAGATAAATATAAAAGTTATAGGGTTTTTAAATGTCTATTTGCAAGTAATACATTTAAGTATATAGAGTCGGTCATAAAGTCGTGGCACATGAAAGTTTCATTTTTTTTAAATGGAATCCCTGTATATTATTGCATATTTCACTTCCTCCTTCAATTTTAAACAAAAATTGAGATACACACAATGTACCTCAAACCAACCGTTTTCGAGTCGATTTTTATTTACTTTTGAAAATATCACTTAAACAATTCGATTTAATTAATTTCGATTTGTTCGGTTTTCGGTTTCATTTATTGAAGCCATTTGTGGAAACTGTGATACTTAATATTATTTGACATTAGTTCTCAAGTGAGTATTTATAGTTGCATAAAATGAGATTAAATCAAGTCTGGAAATTACAAAATGTTCGTTTGACATTGCAAAATCAAAGCTTTATAATTCGGAAATGGTTGAATTTATGTATATTATGTGTATTACGATTGTTGCTTAAAATTGAAGGAAGATTTGAAATATGAAATAATATACAAGGGGTTGTATTTAAAAAAAATGATGTACCACAACTTTATGATCAACCCTGTATACTCGCCAATAGAGATTTAAAAACCGTATAACTTTTGTATTTAACTTTTTGCGGTACCTTGCATATTTCATCTAATAATCGACCATTCCAATACATATCAGTGACCCTGTATACAAAATATAAAATATTTCACTCATTGGAATGTAACTAAAAGAAATCAAAACTAAACCATAAGCTATGATATATTTATAACATTATACTACAATTGGGCATCTACTAACAAACAAAAAAAATATCCAAAACAACAACATTACTTAGAAGACGTATAATAAATGCAACATTAAAAAAAATACAAAACAAAGAAATAGAACAAAACTTTAACGCAGTAAAACAAAGCATCTGGGGTTGACAAAATATCCAACATCATAGTAAGAAATAACAAGAAAACATAAATTCTTCTAAAACTAGCAAATCAGATATTATAAAAAAAGATACCCAGAATATGTGAAACAACCCATTATTACAAAACAAAGATAAAAAGAACCAATACAAAATTATAGAACAATAGTTGCTCTATCGTTAGTATGGAACAAAATAATATAAAAAAAAATAATAAAATAAGAGACCACGTATGACAAAATAAAATACAGTAATAGTAAATAATTGTTACGGTATTTTTTAACATGAAAAAAAAACGTTCGATACAGTTAGTACTAGTGATTTGCATATCAAATCCACAAAATACGAACATTCGAAACATAGAAAGCATCAAAGCAATACGAGCATAGCTTCATATGGTCTACCGCAGGTTATCACTGCTGTATATTAATTATATCAATAATTTATTTGTATAAATCAATCAAAATTTTACTTTATAAAATAGAAAAATGTTATAACTTTATAAGATTTTTTTCTAAGGCAACAAACAAAAGACATAACTATATAAAACCAAAGAGGGCAACGGCCCAGCTACGTCGAAACACCGGTTCCCATTAGAACACCGAAGTTAAGCGACGTAAGGCGATGCTAGTGGATGGACGGGTGACCGGTTCGAAACTTTGCATCGTGCTGTTGTCCAAAAAGGGAAAAGTGTAAAATCTATTGATACACACTGCTCATTCACGCCGGGTTCAAGGCCGGATGAGATCGGATATCTCGTGAGTAAGAGTTAATTTAGACACTTCCTAAGTCGGTAGGCCATTGACCATGATATGGCCGAGGACCGCGGTTCGGATTCCGCGTAAACAAGTAGGTCCCGTCCAGTTTAGCCATTGCAGCAGAAAGGAGACGTTAACTTGAACCTCACACAAAACCAAAGAATAAAAGTAAAATCTAAAGTCAATTATATATTTAGGAATAAGAATTACAGCTTAAAATGTGACACAACCATAAACAGTGTAAAAAATCAGATATAAAAAGAAATTTAATAAATCAGATATATAGAAGAACAAATACAGAATACCAAGAACTTACCAAGAAAAAATCATATACTACCAAGATCAAATAAAAAAAACAAAATAAAAAAATTGTAAATGAACATAAGAAGAAAAAGAATTTGTGTCTGCTTTGACTGAAGAGTATAATAAGGCAGAGACAAATTGAAGAGAAAATACTAGGCATTGAAAACAAAGGAAACAGGTGAAACAGATGATAACAATAATGTATTGAAAATGAAACTTAGTAATGCTATAAAATTTTAACAAAAAGTATTTACAGGGTAGAAGAAAACTATGTTTCTGTGAGTTGTTGCTTTTGAAAGAAGTAAAAGAGCAGGCTGTTGAGGCAGCAAAATCGATAAGTATGTATGCAGATAAAAATTGATTAATTTTTTTAAAACCCAATTAATTCAATTCAAATTAAATATTAATTTCAAATTTGTTGGTATTTTTATGTAAGTATTTAATGTGTATTTAATGAGTTTTTTTATGGGTGCATATAGGTCCAGGTAGGGTACAATAAGCACAATATATAACAACAAAAAGAACGTTTAAAGGTTGATTCTCACTATACCTTCCGTTTCCATTCCATATCCATTCCATATCCGTTCCGTATTTTTTATTGCATTGACGCTATACGTAAGCTTCCGTTCCTTATCAGTTCCATACTTTTTATTGTACAATTTATATCATTACGAAAGTTTTATTTTTAAAATTTGTATCTTTTGAAAAAGATAATAGATTTAATTAAGAGGTGAAAGAATAAATAAATATCACCAAAATGTATAACAGAGCTGGTACAAATATAAGAACTTGACAACGCTGTTCCGATACGCTTCAGTTCGTCCGCCAAAAAAATGTGTGGAAGGAAAGGGTGGGAAACGGAACTGATAGTGTGCATTGCCCGCGGAAGGGAAACGGAAGGTAACTGATACGGAAGGTATAGTGAGAATCAACCTTTAATATGTTTTATATGTTAAAGTGTTTTGCGATTTGGTTTAAATAAAAATGTATTTAAATTTTGAGTTTAGATTGGAAACAATAAAATTATAAAAATATTCCTTCAGTAATCCGGTTACTTAATAATTTGGCGGTGGCTGTTACGATATGTGTCCGAACTACCGAAGTTCTACTGTATAATATTATTAATCCTGTGGAAGTAATAATCCAAGAGAAAAAAAATATCTCCACTAGAAAGACGAACGCGAAAGAACATTTTTATCGTTTTCACTCTGTATATACAAACCGATAAATCTAAAACAACATAGTCTTCAGGAAAGCAAAATCAGTTCCCAGTTCGAACCGCCCGTTTGACCAGGTCAGTACTGGTTTTGACCTTAAAATATATATGTGTTTATTATGACTTGATTAGTGGCATTAGTTAAATGAAAGCGAAGAAGGCAACAGCGATGATGGTTTGTAATTGTTAATGAGGAAGTTTGTTGTTGTATGTGCGTTAGTAGTGCAAGTTCGAGAGATTATCTATCATCATCGGTTGCGTATAGTGTGCCGGTAATATTGAATGAACTGAGGCGAGTACGTATCATTTATCTTCTTCGGAACATTTTCGATGTTGTAATGAATTATTGTTGAAAATATGGTCTAATCAAAAACATATTTGTTTTGGTTCAAAAACGTTTTTGATAAGAGACATTAATATTTTGATTACTGTGACCATAAATTTAAAAAATATGTATATTTTTTTATTCAAATTTTGAGTCGGATTTGAATTATTAATTTAAAAATAAATATATTTTTTTTTGCACAGATATGTTAGTTGCAACAAAATTTTAAAAAAGCATTTTTGGTAATATTTTAATTAAACACTTAAAAGACATGAATAAGTTTTGATAAATATTTTTTTTATAAAATTAACTTATACAGGGTTATTCACCACGTACGACACGGAGTATTGTAGCTCAATGATTAGATTTTTACAAATTTTAAGTTTTGGGTTTGTTGAAGTACTACTAGAGCTACAATTTAAAAATATTTTTACAAGACACAGTGTCCCAAATATATAAAAAATATTATAGTTGTATTTTATCACATAATATAAATCTTGCCGTTTTTGAAATATAGTCAATTTTGTGAAATTGTAGTAAAAATTTTAAGGCTTCATTTCTTCAAGTGTTAGGAAAGTTTTTAATGCTAAATATTTACTGAAGTTTATTTATTGATCAGATATTGTGTTGTAATAATAAAAACAATACTACCTTATAGTGAGTATCTAAATATTTATTTAAATAATTACTAGCATTAAACAGTAATAACTTATTGAATTTAAATGGAACACATTTTACGAGAATCAGATGCAAAATTTGATTGCCTATCAAATAGCATCATACCGTTTTTATCTATTTCTTCAAGTTTTCGTAGAAAATGCATTTTCTTATAATTTAGATCTCATTTATCAATATATCCATGGAATATTGACATTTTAGATTTTTTTAAAGCAACAAATGTACAAAATGCACAGGTGCTTAAAACGATAATATTGCAAGCCCATTTGTTTACAAAAAAAACTATTTAAATCTTTGTAAAAGAGTATATCCCCCAATAATTAAATATACCACCATTCTTTCCGCCTAAAATTAGTTAACTACATACTTAATTGGTTTAGTTAATAAATTTTTCTAAATAAATGTGGGGATTTGAATCAGAAATCAAATAATAATAAGTTATGAAAATGAACGTCTCTGTTGTTATAAATAAGCATTTGTAAAAAATTAAATTAAATTTACAAGGTGTTACTTTTTACCACACTCTAAAACACATACAAAATTCAGTTTTTTAGTATTTGGAACAATTATTATTAATCAACGCAAACAGTCAATTAATGTAGTTTGAATACTGGGATCATATAACAAATCCTCTTTAACAAATATTTTTAAAGAAAATTATTTTTTAATGAAATAAGCGAATTATATCGACAATATTAGTATATGTACTCTTTAAAACTTTGTTACATCTTTAAAAATAATCTAAAATGTCAATATTCCATGGGTATATTGATAAATGGGATCTAAATTATAAGTAAATGCATTTTCTACGAAAACTTGAAGAGATAGGTAGAAAATGGTAGATATAATACAATTTGATAGACAATTAAATTGTGCATCTGATTCTCGTAAAATATACAAGGCGTTCCATTTAAATTGAAGAAGTTATTGCCGTTTAAAACTAGTATTTATTTAAAAAAAATTAGACACTTTAATATATGGTAGTTTAATTTTTATTATTGCAACAGAAAAACTTAAACGCGTCTAGAGAAATGAAGCATTAAAATTGTTACTATATTTTGACAAAAACGTAAATACTTCAAAAACGGTAAGATTAAAATGCGGTAAGCCTTAATCAAATTTATCTTTATTTTAATCGTAGAAACTAAAAATCTAATAATATACAGGGTGTTTCATTTTCCGGGTGTAGGTATTTGAATTAATTCAATTTTGTGTTGTAATTTAGACATAAAATGATTATGTCTAAATATTAAGGCTAGATAATTTATAAGGATACACAATATCAAATGTTTTAAATAATATAAAAATATTTGAAAGTAATAGCTACCTTGTAAGTAATTATATATCGAGAATTTATGGCTACGCTCGTCGAATTTGACACTTTATGTCAGTTTAATTAGGCGTAAAAGTGCTTTACTTTTATGCCTATAGGCGTTAAAACTTTGAATAAGAAGACTAAGGAAGGAGCATATCAAAAATCTTAGGTACACCGCGATGGGCCTCAAATATGGCCGACTTAAATTCCGGTTTATCAGTGTCGTTCTAATTTTATTTAAAAAATGTAAAACTATGATGTAGGGTAGACGTGGAGTAGACTCAATAATTTGTTGTTTTATTTTACGTCGTGAATAAATGGTGGTAGTTATTAAAATTGTTATAAAAATATATAATTCTGATAAAAATAGATAAGTTATAATAAGTATTTATTAACACAAACATCCGATACGCTACTGAAGCAGGTAAGTCAAATTAACGTATCTAAATTCTTTGACATCTAATCTTTGACAAGTAATAAATAAAAGCTAAAATGCAAGAAAAATATATAATTTAGTTAATTTAAGTGAATTTCAAAAATGATCGGTTTACTACACGTATGTATATTATATAATCACTTACTAGCGAAAAGTTGTTCCATTATTTCACTCAATTTTTGCCGAGATCTACCGCACGCGACACAACCAACTATTTTAGTCTTTTTCGATAAATCGCGATAGTGTCACTGTTAATTTAACTTCTGCCACAATTTCCATCTAGATTTACTACCTTTATACAACTATCAGTAGTAGAATAAATAATAAATAACATAAAATAAGCTCCGTAAAGACTGACAAATCCACAAAATTTCGAATCAAATTCAAATGTGTCAAATGAATCGTCAAACAGAACTGTCAAGGATCCCCACCCGAGAGTGCTTTTTCCGCCCACCATGCATGAATACATGGATAGCATTATGCTCCTTCCTTAGTCTTCTTATTCAAAGCGTTAAAATCTTTGTTAAAATGATATTTTTATATTATCATTCACGTCACAAAAATTAATATTTTTGTGATGTATGAAAAAAATTTCTTTTTTCCGAAATCTTCAGAAGTAATAGAGTACCTACAGCAAATCGCATTTTTTCTAATTTAATATAATTCTTGTATCATTTACAGTTTCTAAGATTCCCATGCTCTTCATTCTTATATTGAACACACTGTGACTATATACCGAAATTTTTATTATGACTTATATTTGCATTATAACTTTAGTTTGCAATTTATGCCTAAAGTACTAATGTGCTAATAATTAGTAATTAGGCCAGAATAAAAATTAATATCTTGAATTAAAATAAAAAGCTTTTTGCGAGAAAACGAAAAAATTAGCATAATATAAAATTCCAATTAATGCTGTTAATTATAATATTAATGCTAAATAAAGGCACCATTATCAATTTTTTTTGTTAAAAAAGTATTCCATAAGTATATTTTTTCTAGGTGTAAATACGAGTAGTCTGTATGATCTAAAAAATGAATATTATATCAACCATTCTATATTTTTGCCTTTACCATGTGGTTAAAGGTGTTTTACACAAAGGCGGTATACTATATCCTAGAGAATCAGAAACGCGCCAAATTCAAAGTTTGGATGGATTATGGAATTTCGTTGTAATGAACAACAGCAATCCAGTTTTAGGATTTAAACAGCATTGGCACAAGAAAAGCTTAAGAGAGGTGAGATTTATTTTACTTTTAAATAATTTATTTTTATTTTACTTAGTATAAACAATTATTGCATAAACTATACCATTTCAATGTTTCTTTAATAATTTTTTTAATTATTTAAATTATATTTTAATTTGTTATAATTCATTCCTTCTTAAGAATATAAATGATAACTTTAACAAAAGAATCAATTTTATAGTAAAATTTATAAACTGCCTGATAACAAAAATTAAAATATATTAACAGTAGAGTAAGTTAGTTACTGACGCCAGTTCAAAAGAAAATGTAATAAACAATAATTAGATATAAGTGCAACTGACACCTAAACAGTACATGATCAGATGTTTTGTTTTATGGTTGATTGTTCTTGACATTTTCTGCTTTATATAGATAAAAAATGTAAATGAACTACTTACCTAATTTAATAATACCTAAAGAAGGTCAGGTTTTTCTCTATTTCTATAAAATTTAATACAGGCACTTCATTGATTTTTTATTTAAACAAGTAATTGCAAAAAGTTATATTATAATAGAATACTTCATGATAACTTCATAAACTTTTAAAACTTCTTTCAATGTACCCTCAATGTCCCATTTTGGTTGAAATCATACGGTATCTCCCTTATTAGTAAAGATAGGAGGATGCGGTTTGCACAAACCTGTTCCACTTTTTTGTCAAACGGAAGATGCCGTAAACAAAATTTTCATAGCCCTCTTTATTTCTGAGCTACAGGGTCATTTCGAAAATTTTGCAATTTGGGACAGCCCCCGTATCTCCGTTATTATGGATGATATCGAGAAGTTGAAAACTGATTCTTGTAGAACTTTTTACGTAAAATACAGTGAAGTAGTCTGTTTTTCTGCGAAAAAAATATTTTTGAAAATATGAACTAAAGTTATGTTTTTTTCAAATGGAACACCCTGTATATTTATAAATCATATGATCTGCCTTGCTATGAGCTTCTGAAAAATATATATATCACTCTATATTTATTTTCACTATTTACTGCAATATTTAAAATATATAATTTTCTTGTTAGTAGGCCGGGCCGTGATATATAATGAAAAATCCCAAAATGGTATTTACTAAAATAGTCATAGACATATTAAAATTTTACCTGGAATTAATATAATTTAATTTTAAACTGTTACCACTGAATCCCTGAATGTATTTTTGGTTGAAGATGATCAAAAATAAAATTTACTTTATTAATTATTCAATAAGTCAATTTTTAACGTACATATAATGGTTTGACCTGACTACCAATGAACCTGAGTTGAAACCCAGTTGCTTGAACTTATCTAGAAACCTCCGGCTGCTTGAACTTATCTAGTAGGTACACACACATTACTAGTAGCTCACAACCATCGGATTCATTAAATAAAAGGTATATCGAAGATTAAACATATTATACAGTTAAATTAAATATTTAAACAATTTCCAAATCTTGCTTCAAGTTTCAATTTTTAATATTAGAACTAATTAATCCACCACTTAACGAAAACATTGTATTTAAGTGATACCTTGTAAATGTGGTGAGTCCTATATAGACGAGATAAAATATAGGACATCTAAGACTTCAAATAATTCAAAAATTACACAGAAGGATGAAGAATTGCAATTTATAACCTATATCTCCTCCGCGGAGCAAAGGGCTTAAGTAAAAATTCTCCATCTGGTCCTATTTCGGACTGTTGTTTTTGCTTCGTTCCATGTTGACTCTATTTCTTTGAGTTCGTCTAACATAGAACGTCACCATGTTTAAACTGGTCGGCTTTGTTTTCTTTTGACTTGAGGGTTCCATTCTATTGCTGCTTTCGCTATGTTATCCGCAAAGTATGACCTATCCATCCCATTTTCGAAGGATAGTAACATGATTGGTCTAAACAATACGTCAAAAGCTTGGGCTAATCCATATAAAAATAGAAAGTTATCAATGGTGACTCCCAATAGAAAACGAGGAAAAGGCTTGCAAAAAAGTAGAAAAAGACAGCTGCAGAAAAGCTTCACGTTGTTTGAAAAGCTTGGTTTATTAATAGTTTATAACAATGTTGGTGGATATATCATTTAACCTGACCCAGGGGCGCAACTAGACACATACTTTTAGGGGAACTCAAGTCTTTTGGGGGGGATTAGGTCACTATAAGATAATATTGATTTGAGGGCTAAGCTTTTTGGAATAATATAAGATTGGAAGTTTTCAAATTTAGATAATTTCAGAATATAGCAGTAATGATATATTTTCAGCTTGATCTTGATGTACAACTTATGCCAGTGCCATCCAGTTACAACGACATTACCACTGACTGGCAGATAAGAGATCATGTAGGTTTGGTATGGTACGAACGAACGTTCTTTGTACCGAAATTCTGGTCTGAAATTGGAAGGGTTTGGTTACGGTTTGAGTCGGTTTCTTATGCAGCTCAAGTAGTAAGTTAACTTTTTATTAAAAATATTAAATATAGGTTACTTAAAAAGTTTATAGAACATCACTGTACATTTGAAGTACAGCAGTATGCTGTATGTGTTTATTTTCAAAAATTAATACATTTTTTGATGATTTTTCGATTTTTTTTTCATATAATTTTTTGGTGTCGTAAATATGCATATTCAGAGATATAAATTTAATCGGACCTTTTTAAAAAAAATAATTTTATTTTTCAGAAACTATTTGAGACAGAGTTTACCAAAAATGCTTTTTATAACTACTAGTGGGTAAATGAATTTCTAGATATATTACGAATTTTTTTGGAACTTTAGTTTCGGAGATATAAATTTAATCGGACCTTTTTAAAAAAATTAATTTTATTTTTCAGAAACTATTAGAGATAGAGTTTACCAAAAATGCTTTTTATAACTACTAGTGGGTAAATGAATTTCTAGATATATTACGAATTTTTTTGGAACTTTAGTTTCGGAGATATAAATTTAATCGGACCTTTTTAAAAAAATTAATTTTATTTTTCAGAAACTATTTGAGACAGAGTTTACCAAAAATGCTTTTTATATCTACTAGTGGGTAAATGAATTTGTAGATATATTACGACATTTCTTGGAACTTTAGTTTCGGAGATATTAATTTAATCGGACCTTTTTAAGAAAATTAATTTTATTTTTCAGAAACTATATGAGACAGAGTTTACCAAAAATGCTTTTTATATCTACCAGTGGGTAAATGAATTTCTAGATATATTACGAATTTTTTTGGAACTTTAGTTTCGGAGATATAAATTTAATCGGACCTTTTTAAAAAAATAATTTTATTTTTCAGAAACTATTAGAGATAGAGTTTACCAAAAATGCTTTTTCTAACTACTAGTGGCATATTTTGATATTACAAATACATATTTTGATATTACAAATACAACTTTTCATGACCATAGAATTAATTATATGGTAGATATAGAGATTCTGATAAAATAGGAATGTTAAGAATTAAATTACAATATAAATTATCCTCGTAAACATATTATTTATGTTGTAAGTTATTACCCAAGATTTTAATTGTTTTGTTTGTTTATAACATATGCCATTGGCATTAAGTTCAACTGTGCCATCATAAAGAAAAGAATTCTAGAATAATTATAACAAAAACTTAACACAAATAAAATATAAGAAAAATGCAAAAAAGCATACTCTTTTAAAATATCATAATATCTTAAAATTATTAAGGATTACTAAAAGATTAATAGTATTCTGGCTTAGTGTCAAATTTTCTACCCGGCTGTAAATATATCTCTTAAAAATGTGGTAGAAACAACATTTTCAAAAAATATCTTACCTTCATCATAAAAGAAAAAATCGTTAATATTTATTATTATTGGGTATAAAATATTTTTGTTTAAAACATCCAAAAATGACGTTATGTACGAAAGGAAGAATGAAGACACAAACAGATAATTTCATGTAAGAGGACATTATTATTGTAAATACTGATATATAGGCAAAATAAATGGGGCAGGTTGAGGTAAACATATTTTTAGAATAATTACAGTTCCTGAACAGTTGAAAATTATTATTAATTTTAAAATAATTAGAAAGTGCAAATATTTTCAGGGCTAGTAGATCTCGACAAAAGAAACATATTTCCTGTTTGCCGTTTTTGAAATAAGTCCAAAATAACGGAGTTATTTTACTTTGAAAATTGAAAAAAATATATAATTTTTTGCTTAAATTTTGAGAACCACTGGATCTTTTTTGGATTTTCTTTCTCGTAAATTGAATCTATCTATGTTATCTTATCATAAATTGTGATTTTTAACTAAAAACTAAAAAAAAAAATCCAAATCTTAAAAAAAAATTCGCGGAAAAAAACTCATAGACGTGTTTTTCCGGGGTCGAAATATGGTACTACTCCTAAAAATATTTGCACTTGTTTAAAAGACTCACCCTGTATAGATTTTCTTACAATATATTTGTTGTACTATCCCATAATCAACTGATTAAAAAAAAGTAACATTTAACACAAAAGCGAATGTTACATTTAATCTCTTATACATTAAATTCGAAGTGATTAAAATTTGTTTTTCAGTGGATAAATGGACAGCAAGTTATGATCCACGAGATAGGTCATTTACCGTTTTTAGCCGAAATTACGGCTTATTTGCGATACGGATTAGAAAACAGAATTACTGTATCCTGTGACAATACTCTGCTTCCTGATACAGTACCACAAGGATACGTCAAAGAACTACAAAAGTATATAATACTATTAAATAAATTAATTTTAATATTAATGGATAACTATTAAAACACTTTATTCAGAAAAATGGTTGAAATTAATTAAGTAGAACTCTATAATATTTCATCTTAATTTTAGTGGAAGATTGCAACAGACGTATACGTTTGATTTTTATAATTACGCTGGTATTGACAGGCCAGTCAAATTATACACTACTCCAAAGACTTACATAGATGATATCACTGTTATCACCTTAGAAGCAACGCCAACAAATGGTAAGTTCAACATAGTTCTAATGTAAAGCAGCCTCTACACTATGCACAGAACTCTTCGAAACAGGCCAAGATCGCATTTCGTCGACCAACTTTGTCGCATTTTGGTTTGTCTTGACACTTGATTCTTAAAAGCGGCTGAAAACTACTCGTGAGGAGGGCCTGGAGGGATTTTTTTTGGCGTTTTCTGTTGCCTCGTTCAATTTTGTTTCGTTTTGAACTATTTCCAAAACGTGGCGGTATCTGTACCCGAGACAAAGGACTTTTTTTCATAAATCTCAGTGAAATAAGTAAACCTAGACGTTTCTAAAATATCTTTTGTTACGATGATATTTCGTTAATTACATCTCGTTTTATGTTGAAACATATATTTCACAAAATTAATATTTGAACACGCGTTAATAATATGTAGGGTAGATATTTTTAAGAACAAACTTCTCACTCAATCTGCAGGAATATAATTACAATATGTTTATTATTTATTTACTTTTATTATAATTAATTAGTATATAAAATTGTATATGATATTTCTGTTTACGGCCTTAGTTGATTAATATATCAGTAGTATTGTTTGATGAGTAATACTGGTAACATTATCAATATATCCACTTGGGAAAATTATTAATTGACCCCATGTCAACAAAAGTATGGTCCATGGACATTATTTAAAAGCAATGTTCTTTTATTGTTCTTAAGAGAAATCTGTAAACGATACTTTTATTAACACCCAGTATGGTTTGATATAAATCCATTCAACTAGTATTTATTATGCAGGGATTTAGACAATTAAAACTAGAAAAACAAAACCAAATTCGTAAACTAAACTTTGCTACAGACTACAGTATAAATGTTTCTTTACCATAACCAGAAATAATAAATAATTAGACGATTTTTTAAATAATTTTGTGTATATTTTGTTCATGAGGCGCAATACCGTGGATTATAAGCCGTTAAATGGTAGGCCGCTAGTTAGTCACTGTTTTATATTTTTTACTATATTGTAAATAATAATATTGGACAACAATTAAAACAAAATATTTTGTATAACCTTCGAAGAATAACTGTTTTTATATCAGTTTTTCCATGTTTACCTATTTATTTTTCTGAAGCACAACGTTTGGCCTTGATTGTTTCTTACTATTTCCAGAAATGTTTTGCGAAATGTTTTACTAAATATTTCCAGAAATATTCCGTAAAACAGTTCGGAGACAGTGTAGAGCTCGTTGTAGAGGCTGTTTAAAAGTTGGTTACTATTCCCAAAAAAAGATAGTTTGGTATGTTGGTACAAAAGAGAATTGTAAAGGATTGTTGAAGTAGTAACCTATTAATCTAATTGTCTTATTTATGTTACAAAACCAAAAATACCAATTGTAACCGCTCTGCGGTAAGTTTCCTGTCAAAACACGACGAAAAACAATTTAATTATCGTAATAACAACTATGGTTGGTTTTCTTTTGTAGCATTGCTTCAGTATAATGTCTCCGTAATAGGAGATTACAACGTTACCTGCAGAGTAACGCTCGTTGATAAAAACAAAAATGTAGTGACCGGTCAGTTGCACAGCCCAGATTTTTTTGGTTCGCTCCGTGTTGAAAATCCTAAACTATGGTGGCCGTATCTGATGAACCCGGAACCAGGATATTTGTATTCCTTGGAGGTAATATTTTTGTAAATTTAATTCAAATTCTTGTGCAAATATTTTATCGTTTTTATACTACAACTATTGTATGCAAATAGAATGGCTTAATGAGGTTAGCAATAGAACATATCTTCTTGTCTTGATGTCTTGCATAAATATGATAAAAAGACTGAAATAAAGTTGATTAAATATACAGTAGCAGAAATCAAGAAATTCAACTGAAGATCTTAAAATAAAAATTCAGCAGAACAATCTTTTACTTCATTAACTACATTCACAATCACGAAAAACAGGCAGATTAAAATTTTGATGTGTTTTAAAGTTTTATAAATTGTGTTCTAGTGGACCTATTTTGATGATTTTCTTAGTAGTTTGTAACTAAATTATTCGACTTTTTAGTATTTCTTTCTAAATTAAAAATAAAAGTTCCTATCTGCCTATTATAGCCGGAAAGCTGGCGACATATTTAGAGAACATATTTTAGGCATGTTAGAATAACAAAAAAAATAAAGTTTAATAACTTGTGAGCCCACAATCCTAAGTCTGGCTGGGGGGTGGGGGGTATTTACAAACATTTACAAACATTAACATTTGCAAAAAAATAAATCCAAAAAACATCCTTTAGGCAACTTGAAATATGTTTATTCTTAAATTTTAGCATCTATTTAACCTAGATAGAGACCTAGAATAAGTGTGCTAGACTTTTTTTTCGGGTTTAAAGTGTAACCAGACCATTCCAAATATGTTTAATTATTATACCTGGAAAACATACTTTAGGCATTCTAAAATGTTTACAGCGTGTTTATTAGATGATATTAAAAAATATGTGTTAATTGCCAAACGAATTCAATGGGATTTAATACTTGCCAGACGCGAATAAAGATTTTAAATGAGCGCGACAAAAAAGTCTTATGAGTATCTCTAAGCGCGAGAAAGATAGTTTATTGAGACCCGTCGGCAGCCGATGCGGCTGACGTAACAGTATTTTGGAGTATGTACTTCAAATTTTCATAAAAACAATTTTTTTTCGGTTTCATTTCAATTATTTGCAGGCTTTTAATTCCGAGGTTATTTTGTTGGAATTAAGTTACCATGTACAAATATGTATTTATATAAATTAAATATTGACGTGCATAGTGTAAATAGTTTAGAATGATTACTGCAAATAAATATTTTAGTAACTACTAATTTCGCTACTAACTACTAAATCACAATGGATAAAAAACATTGTTGTGTAATTTGTAAAGTTGTGTAGTTTGTAAAAATGTTACTAGTGACAAAGTTATTGTTTTTGATGAAGGCAGACTACAAAAATGCAAAGAATTTTTAAAAGTGCGCCAACAACATGGTTTAAAATTTAAAGAAGTGGTTTTACCAGAAAACGTTGTCCCGACAAAAGGGTACCATGTACAGTGCTAAAAAAAATAAGTATTCTGGAATTTTATTAAAGTACCTACCATTGTTAATCTTTCTAAATAGTTTCAAAAGTAAGCAAAAGTGCTTTACTTTTATGCTTAGGCGTTAAAATGACTTTTTTATATTGTCAATCAGGTCGCAAAAATTAATAATAATATAATATGTCACAAAAGTATAATAATAATTATACTTTTGTGACGTTTGAAAAAAATATATTTTATATTATGCTAATTTTTAAATAATTATTCGTCTTTTTATTCTTTCAGATACAAAATACTTAAATTAAAAAGTCTTCTTATTGAAAGGATTTCAATCATACATTTTTATTAAAAAATATTTCTTTTTATTTATTCAATATTAGTTAGTTTTTTTTTAAGTTTTTCAAGACTTGTTTCACAAAGACTCCAAAATGCTGTTACGGGTCTCAATAAACTATCTTTCTCGTGCTTATAGATACTCATAAGACTTTCTTATCGCGCTCATTTAAAATCTTTATTCGTGTCTGGCAAGTATTAAATCCCATTGAATTCGTCTGGCAATTAACACATATTTTTTAATATCATCTAATAAACACGCTGTAAAAATTTTAGAATGCCTAAAGTATGTTTTCCAGTTATAATAATTAAACATATTTGGAATGGTCTGGTTACACTTTAAACCCGAAAAAAAGTCTGGCATACTTATTTCTAGGTTAAATAGATGCTAAAATTTAAGAATAAACAAATTTCAAGTTGCCTAAAGAAGGTTTTTTGGACTTATTTTTTTGCAAATGTTATGGGTTGCGCAGTAGCGAAATACCCCCAACCCTCCAGCCAGACTTAGGATTCTGGGTTCACCAGTTAATAAACTATACATTTTTAGTTATTCTAGCTTGCCTAAAATATGTTCTCTAAATATGTCAGCTCTTAGGCTATTATACGAGGGAAATCAAAATGTTGATATTTTAGTGAAGGTTTGAAACATCCTGTGGGATATGTTAACAAAGCAATGAATTTATAAATCAGTTTAATATCTAGTTGTGTCTTTTATCGATAGTTTGTTTTTTGGTTTATCTCAATAGCTTTATTATTTTTTTTGGAAATATTCGCTTTTGAAGAAGACACTCACATTTTTTCGCAATTTTTACATTAAAACCATGCCTTTCCTCTTTGTCCTATCGAACAGATCTATAAAATAGTTTTTATCATTTATGTAATATCACTACCATTGAAAAATCCCAGCAGAGATGATTTTAAGTCCAGAAGTTGTATCCGCTATAATAGTTGCTTTATTTGAAGATGCATGTTCTTCTTCTTTTGCTTATTTGAGATTTAGTCGATCTGTTAATTTTAAGGTTGCCTCTATAGGAGTTATTGGGAGATGTACTGCCTCTGCCAAATGTCTTTCCATCTTTTTGGAGGTCTTCCCGGCTGTCTCTTGCCCATGGGCTTCAAGAGCTATGCGTGGTAGCCTGTTTTCTTCCATGCGTTTTACGTATGCGAACCATTGCCTGTTTCTTGGCCTACTCCATCTCACTACGTCCTCTATTCCACATTGTTGTCTGATATTTGTGTTTCTAATTATGTCTCTTCTAGTCTTTCCCATTATGGTTCTTAAGTTGAAGATGGTAACGAGGAATGGTAGAGAGATGGTTGAAGATAGTAGAGATTAAAATTACCTCGCTAACAGATTTAGGAGTAATTGAAGTTCAGGGGGGGATAGTCGGAATCAGTAATAATTTTCTAATATGTTTTGTTCTATGGTATTTTCACATGTTGTAAGATTTTTAAAGGTGGCGTAGAAGTACAGGCTCTCGTCTACCAATCTCAAGGTAGTGGGTTCAAATCCCACACCCGGCATTTCATCAGCCGACTATTTTTATTAAAATAAAAATAGTTTGGGTACCTAAGTTAAGTCGGCTCAGCCTTAAATGAGTACCTGGGATTCACAATCCTGAGGTAATAATAGGCGGTTGAGGCGTAGTGCTAGCCACATTACCTTCCTTGTATACCGAACGGCTCTAGTATGGCAAGCTGTACCTTGCTACTCCCAAGGCGTCAAACGCTATATACGGGAGCTATTATTATTATTGTAAGATTTTTAAAATATACAAGATTCGATAACAATATTTTTCAAAATTAAATATAATATGGCCTCTAAACAATATGGGATTTTGAAAACATAACGATTACAATTTTAACTAAAGCCAAAGATAATTCTAACTATAAGATTCTTTACTTATCCAGCGATAAAGGAGACGATTTTGACAGACAACATCCGATAATTGACAACCAAAATAAAGTCGCATTAAATTCAAATTAAATGTAATAAGATTCTTTCCATTTTTTGTCGGATTATTAAATCAACTTTACTTTTCATACAATACTTTGGAAATGTTTTATTTTCGAATAAAATCCTACAAGTTTTTATTGGTTTTACTTTAAAGAAAGGTGCTTATTAGATATTCTAAAAGCGTAAATGGATTTTTATAACATGAGAAAATAATGATGTAATATTATAGGTTGAGTTATTGGATTCTTACGGAGATTTGGTGGACAAGTACATTCAACCAGTTGGTATCAGGACGTTGACATGGACAAATAAACAACTATTGATTAACAGCAAACCGGTATATTTACATGGTTTTGGAAGACATGAAGATTCGGATATTAGAGGGAAAGGTATAAATTATATCATAGTAAATTTTAATAATAAAATAAAACAATATTTGTCTTGATCAACGTTACGACTAAGTAATTAAAGTTTCTTGTATATCATCCCATTACTATGGTTAATTTACTTGAAATATTGTTTGTAAAAATGATTGTTACATAGACAGTATATTTTATAACAATCATTGATTAACACTATGGGATTAGCAAAATAAAACACTGAACGCGCGTGTCGCTAACCTTGTTTGCATCATCAACAAATGGTGAAAACTAAGTATGATTAGAACTTAGTTTTAGCCATCAGATGATGATGCTGATGATGAAACCAAAACATTGTTCGTTGTTTTCGTTCATTCGTTGTTTCGTTTATTCGTTGTTAATGAAACACGCGTCCAGTGTAAAAGTAAAGTGTTTTGGTGTATTGCTGTGAATTAATGTTTTATTTTGCTAAGGCAACATCAAAGGTTCCAACCTTCAACTGTAAATTCTATAGTTTTAACTGTTTTTTTTAATAAATTCTCACAATTTTATAATTGCTTATCTTAATTGCTTTTTAGATTATTATTAACAACTAAAAGACAAAAGACCTAACATTATTAGATACCAAAAAAGTTTAGAGAAATATTCAAACCGTTTTCAAAAAAATAATAAAATATATCTAATTAATAGAATATTCAAAACATAAAATTACTTATGAACTTCCTATATGCCAAAATAGACATGATGATTCGAAAAAATGTTGTCAGCCTTTTTCTATAGAGTCTGAAAAATGTACCGTTTTCAGAAAAAAAAATATGTTAAATATTCGTTTGTATTTTCTGTTTCTCTATCATCCAAATATTAAAATAATAACAGGGAATTGCAACTGACACCTGCAGATACTAACCCGATCAAATGTTTTATTTGACAAGATGTTTTTCTCTTCGCTTTTTTTACCTTTAATTTAATTAATCCTTACAGCATTTTAATGTTCATTTTAATCCACTCACAGTTCACTTTCCACTTTGTCAACAGCTAAATTTTTTCTCGATAGTTTGATTTTTTGATTCCTCTCATTGGAGATATTTGCAATTCAAAAATACAATAACGATTTACAATTTTAACATTTTTTTTTTGTTGAGGAGGGAAAAATCTTGCATAAGACACCCCTAAAGGGTAGTGCCGGATTCCTACCGGCTAAAAAAACTCTCCTCTGCCCTGCCACATAACCGCATTGGAATCCGCTTTCGCATTTCTTCAATCCGGCCGTTGTCCTTAATCTTCTTCTATCAGACTTTGCATCATCTGGGACTCCTTCTCTTTATTTTCTGTAATATGTCTTATAATCATTGTAACTTTGTCCCAGGCATTTTCCCCGTCAACTAAGCTATTTGCTACATTTCTTATGTTGAAAACTTTTTTTGTATCTTGCAAATATTGACCTCTAATTTGATGCCATCTAAGGCATTCAAATAAAGTATGTTCTGCGTCATCTTCGGCATGATATACACTGAGGTGTGGTCTTTTTTTTTGGAACAAACAGATATTTACCAAAGCACCCATGACCCGACAACGCTTGCGTTATGTAGTAGTCTACTTCTCCGTAGCCTCTAGTAATCCACTTTTCAATGTTCGGGATAAGTTTATATGTCCATCTGCCATGTTTTCCATTTTCCCATTTATTTTGCCACTCTAATTATTTTACTTCGAGCTTCTTGCCTTGGCAACCCGCAGTAAGTTGCATGTCTTTTTTTTATTGGAAGCTCTATTGGAGGAATTCCAGCTACAACGCAAGCACCTTCACCAGATATTGTTCGGTATGCAGAGCAAACTCTGATGTTCTCCGCACTCTTATAAGTTTCTGCAGTTGTTTTTTATTCTGCGTTATAGTATGCCATGCCGGTGCTGCATACAGTAATTGCGAATGTACCATTTAGGAGGGTTTGCGACCCCTGATATTCGGCATGAGACTAGTCAATGCCGATATCATCTTCTGCGCTTTAACAAGGGTTTTGTCAATATGTACCCCGAACGTCAGTTTTGAGTCCAGCCATACACCAAGATATTTAATGGCACTACTTGGATTAACTATTGTTTGCTCTACATTAAAATATAGTCTAGCTATTTTTCTCTTGGTCGTTAGTAGAACTGCTTCAGTTTTATGAGGTGCAAGTTGAAGGTTTTGCCTCCTCATCCACTTTGTTACTCGCATTAGTCCGGTGTCGGCCAAATTCATCAAGGATTCCTCACTACTAGCTGTTACAACCATGGCGATGTCGTCTGCAAAACCAACGAGTGTAATTCCATCTGGCATGCGGGTCTCTAGCAAACTATCATACAGAATATTCCACAAGGTTGCAAATGAAGTACCTACTAATCCAATAATAATGGAAGATTATGATTTTTAAGTTTTATTACAGCACTTATTCTAAACTAAAGTTAGACATCAAATGATATTTTAAATAATTATTAAATCGACTAGAAATTATTATTTTTAAATAGCATTTGCATAAAAAATTAATCCATGTAAATATCTCAACAGGACTGGACCTACCTTTGATAATCAGAGATCACAACTTGATCAAATGGATAGGAGCAAACGCTTATCGCACATCACACTATCCCTACGCCGAAGAGATCATGGACTTGGCGGATCAAATGGGGATCATGATCATCGACGAGTGCCCAAGCGTTAACACTGAGTAAGACCTCTATTTATTTTGGTGGTGGCGATATATGTTTGGGCTAAAATTTTATTTCAGAAATGACGCACAATTTCTCATTTTTAGAATTTTCTCTAATAGCATGTTAGTGAAACATCAAAGTTCTCTGACTCAATTAATACAAAGAGACAAGAACAGACCAGCTGTTATCATATGGTCGGCTGCAAACGAACCCAGAACGCAATATCCTGCGGCTAAGGAGTACTTTAGGTAAATAAACAAAGGGACTGTATTTAGAATAAATTGTAAAAGTAAATTTCTAGGCAGATTATTCAACACATCAAGAACTTGGATACAACCAGACCTACTACCATAGTGGAAGCTCAAGGTTCTGGGACTACTCAAGCAGTAAGAAAATAGTTTTGATCATATCAGTATATTAATATACAGGGTTCGGCAATAGTGCGTCGCGTCGGGTATCTGTAGCTCCTGGCTAGAATAAAAAACTTGAGAATTTTGTTTAAGTGCAGACCTAAATACGGGGATGTATTTCAGAAAAATATTTTAACTTCTATAGGGTGGCTCAAAAAAGTATGAGTGGATCAGGATGATTTTTTTTAAATGGAACAACCTGTATATTATTGCATTTTTGGCTCCCTTTCAGATCACTTTACATAATCTTAAGATATGAGTATATATATAGTATATTTCGATTTTTTCACACATATTAATAAACAAAAAATATGTATTTTTCCGCCTTTCTTAAAAAAATTATTACAAATACAAGAAATGTCCTGAAATCTATATTAGGTATTTACTTAAGATGGTCTGTACTTACTTTGCTATAAATATGGTAATCGTAAATTATACAGGGCGTTCAAAATTCTACTCCAAACTTTTTAAAATATAAAATAAATTTTCTTCGTTCTTTTTTAAATGGAACCTTTTGATCACTTTATATACAGGGAGGTCCGAACTGTATTCCGGAAACTTTGGCAGCATATTCTGTATATAAAAATAAGTAAAAAAGTTTGTATAAATGTATGTCCTAAAATGCTTAGTTTCGGAGATACAGGGTGTAGAAGTTTCATTTTTATTTCGATTTTTTTCTAAATAATTTCGGAAGTAACGTCAATATTTGGATGAAAATTGGTGTCTGGGAGTTTTTTGACATGAGAAATTCGATTTTGATGTCAATATGACTCCTACTAGTAGAGGACGCCACCTACATATTTTTTAACTGGTTTGAAGAGTAATAACTTTTCGTCCGTACCTGTATAAAACTACTGAGGATAAAAATATACATTTACGACGTTTTTTACGTGAACAAGGTCTCTCGGTAAAAATCGCTACGAGTAATGGCTTTCGAGATATTTTACATCGAAATTATCAATACCTGTCATCATTGATATAAATTAAACATGTTGATTAAATAGTTATTAGACTGAAATCATAAATTTGAAATGTTTTTGAGCCAAAAGTTCAACAAAAACGGTTTTATCATCATTTTTTGCAGAAAAAATTATGATTAATTTAAAAAAATAAAAATTTTCCAAATTTATTATTTCAGTGAAATAACTAATGTGTTTATTTTTCGTCAATATAATGACATGTATTGACTATTTCCATTCTCAAATATCTTAAGAACGGTTGCTCGTAGCGATTTTTACAAAGAGATATTTTTTACGCAAAAAGTCACAGAGATGTATATTTTTTCCCTCGGTAGTTTTATACAGGTACGTACAAAAAGTTATTACGCTTCAAAACAGTTAAAACACATGTAGGTGGCGCCCTCTACTAGTAGGAGTCATATTGACATCAAAATCAAATTTCTCTAAGTAAGTCTAATAAACCTGAAACTAAGCAATTTAGGACATACATTTATACGAACTTTTTTACTTATTTTTATCTGCAGAATATGCTGCCGAAGTTTCCGGAATAGAATTCGGACCACCCTGTATAATATAATCCTAAGATAGTTTTTCAGAAATATTAATAAATTAAAAAAGAAAATATTTTTTCAGTTTTTTTTAAATATTAAAAATACAAGAAATGTCCTGATATTTATTGTATGTATTAAAACCTTAGATTAACAATTAATTAAAACTATACTAGGTATTTACTATAGTTTGTCTGTACTTACTAGCAGGGGCGGCTCGTAGCACTGGAAGATGGTGAGGCACATTAGAAGAGAATTTTTATTAGTATGTAATAGGGTGTACGAGTATTAGTACGAGGAAGTTCTATATAAAAAAAGTACATATCCTAAAAAAATATCTTCTTTAAAATTGCAATCGCATTACCATTTTTCTGTACAGAATTGGGTTCAGCATAAAATTCAGCATACATCACACTATTGATTTATTTGAAGCACTATATATGCGGGATTTCGCAACCAATGACAATTCCCACATAAATTTACATATAAAATGACAGCGATCTTCATTTCATAGCCAACGCTGACGCCGTTTTTTCTCGATCATACGGTACCTATTACATAGGGCTATTGCAACAGTAAATTTTTATCAAAGCGACCTCAGGATATTTTCTCTTATATTTTATTCTGTATGGTAAAATTTTGTTTTTCTACCCATCCTATAAAAATAAAACAAAACGAAATCTGTAACAGGTCGCTTTACTTTTTGACTATACACAATTTATCTAGAAATGATTCGAAAAACTTTACCTGGGGAAGTCCTCTGATGATGCATGGTCCCTCTAAATCATCATATCCATCAACAATAAGTCACTGCCCACTTTTTAGGTATTTACTTAATATGTACAATAATCAGTAAAAAGAGTAATTAAACATGCAATTCACATTAAAAAACGTAGATATTAATCAATTAGAGACAAAAGAGTGTAATAACCAGCAGAATTAATTCATACTCTGATTCAAACCAAGCCAAATTCCCAAATAATGCAATTCTGCATTTTCAGCCTGTCGCCTAAAATCTCTCGGGCTGATCGGGAACTGATCGGGAAGTGATACATATTTTTAACGAACGGCTTTTAAGGTTCAAATTTACATTTGAGGCTCGCCTCAATACGGTCTTCTTACGCGCTACTACTCCATAAATTTTATCTCTCTTCAACTAAAGGTTTTGCCTATGCTTTTTCTTTTCATTCTATAGAGTTAAGATTCGAGTGAACGCTGTCGCTCCGTCAGTGGGATATAACACAATACGCTAGACAAGGAAAGGCGAGAGGCAAACCTTTGCACATATACTTCTTAAAGAACAAATGAGATGGATATACATCGTCGAGTTTGTCGCATATGGGAAAGGAAGTGCGTTTAAACGAATACCATCGACGTAATTTATTGTAGAATGACGGTTAAAAAATACAATTATTATTGATGCAAAAGGGAAAAAAATATAAAATTGTGATTAAAGATGTATCAATTAATACGTGTAATTTTTCAAATGTATTGGTGAGGCGCCTCATCTGCCTCATAAGACAAGCCGCCCCTGTTTTAAAGTTTCTACAATGTTAATTAGCAATTATTGAAGTTTAAATATGTTATTTTATTATTTAGTATAATATTACTAAATGTATTAGTTATACTTTTTGTGTTATGTCTTTAATTGAATTTTATTGAATTGAAGTTTTTTTTTAAATTCAGTTAAATTGGTTTCGAGGTTGGTTGATGTTGTTTGATGTAATTTTTTAATCTACCTGATACATGTGTTTTTTTTTTCGCTTGTGTCCATGTTTTTTCATTTTCTCTTGACTTAATAATTTGATATTATTTTCATTGGAAACTAAATTTTTTATCGGTTTTACTTTTGAGAACCATTCCGTGCTTGCTAATTGACGAAAACCACAATCATTGAACGAGAATATTTTAGTACGGTTCCGAAAACTCTAATTAATACTACCAATTAGTGTTCAGATCTTTTTGGCCACCACAGAACCGGGCCTCGGTAACAATAATTTAAAAACTTTTTTTTTGTTACGTGAGAAAGTCCTTTGATACTTTCTAGCGGTCGAAATCAAACTCTTCTAAATACGTAATGAGGCTATTTCTTATTGTTCTTGTTTCTTTTCTATTTTGAAGTTCCTATAATATTTATTATGTTATGTTTTAATACATATTTGCATTTCAATTCAATATTTTAGGATCTTTGTCTCAAATTCAGTTAAGTTGGTTTATGTTGTTTGATGTGAACTTTAAGTTTGTTACCTATACTTTTTTCTTTACTTGTGTTCAAGTTTATGTTCATGTTAATTTTCTCATCACTGATTACTTAATAATTTGATATTATTTCCATTAAATTCTCAATTTTTTATTCATATTATTTTGAAAACCCATCCCTTGCTTTCTGATTGATGAACTGCACTACCATTGAACAATAATTGAGTGGAAAAACAACTCCGGTTCCGGAAACCCTATTTCTTACGTTGCTGTAAACATCGTAATATTAAACCATACAGGGTGTTCAAAATTCTATGCCAAACTTTCTAAAATATAAAATAGTTTTCCTTCGTTTTTTTTAAGGAACCACTAAAAATTCTAAAATGTTTTAAACACAAAAAAATGTTCGTTTTTTAATTCTCTATCTAACAAAGAAATATTAATAGGCTCTGTCTTGATTATAAATATGATAAGCGTAATAATCTTATCTTCTTATGTTCTGTTCGGCAATGCAACAAATTGTAAAATAACCTATCGACCTTAGTTCTGGAAAACAAAAACAAAGAATTGTTTAATTTTTAAAATAAAAAAATAGTACAAAAAAGGCCCAAGTCACTTTTGAGCGAAAGGTTGGAGCCCTAAAGCCCGCCTTTCTTTGCAAATCTGAACGAAGGCCGTATTCGTTCAATTCAAAAGCAGCAATTCAAAAGCAGCAGACCTCCTGCTTATCGATTTCTACCCTACCGTATATGTACTTATTTTCTGTGGGGAACGAGTGGTGAGATATTAAGGCACAAGAATATCAAAATTGTTTAACTGGTTGCCTACATTTTAAAAGGTATGGGGTGACAACGAAATTGTTATAAAGATAACAAATATATCTATCAAAATAATATACAATATGTACCCGGATTGTCTTTAGAAGAGGAAAAACTTTTTTATTATTGACATTTTGTGAAAAATGCATTTCTTCATAAAAAATTTTACTTGTTTTAAAAAGCTCAATCCAGTTTAATTTTTCTAAATTTCCATACTGTTTTAGAGAAAATTAAAATGTTAAAATTTTTGGTAAAAAGGCTTAAAACCCATTAAATTCAAAAAATACACTTTTAATATACAGTCCTGTCATAAAATTTCTCAAAATACATAAATCCTTAATGAGATGGTAAGGGCCTAAACGATCATAAATATTTCAATATTTATTGGTTTAAGAAATTAAAATAACACATAATGAATGAGACGGGTTTACTATGAATTACAAATTAGTTTTAGTGAAATGATTTTTGCATATACTTTTGTTATAACAATATTTTTAAACATCAATACTTGATTACTTCTTTATAAACTAGAGTTACAGAGTTAAGGCAATTTTTTCGACGATAATTTATATTATTTATTATGATTTCTCATTAAATATGTTAATGATTTTTTATTTCTTAGTCAGAATTTGTAGATATCGTCAGCTTCAACAGATACAACGCTTGGTATAGCAATGAAGGAAACTTAGACCTTGTAATCGAAAATGTAGTTAATGAAGCAACAAGTTGGAACACGGTATACAACAAACCTGTAATAATGCAAGAGTACGGTGGGGATACCATGGCAGGATTACACTTTGTATGATGATTTTTTTAAAAATATTTTTATAATTAATTAAAGTATTTCTAGCTACCGAATTTTATATGGTCCGAGGAGTATCAAGTTGGGTTATTATCCAGACATTTCCAGGCATTCGATTTTTTGAAAATTCAAGGTTTCTTTATCGGAGAGTTTATTTGGAACTTTGCTGATTTCAAAACAGCGCAAGGTAAGATTTTAATAATTTTACAATTTAATTATTTTCATCAGTGTTTGCTAAAAGACAAACGTGAAGTAATGTACCCCCTCCCCCCTAGCGACAGGTCCATCAGGAACCTCGCTGGAAATTATACTGCTCTATTCCAATCCATCTTCCGGGGAAATTATTTGATTATTTATATTATATTATATTTATATTATTTATTTTATATAATTTTCTATTATTTTATTGCATTTGATTTTCCTTATTTAATGTTTTTTTTTTCCACGTCTTTGTTAAAAGCTTATCAATAAAAAAGAGTCTTTCAAAAGTCTTGAAAGCTTATCAATATTGTAACGATGAATAGATTAAATATTTAAAAAAACAGAGGCCGTACTTGAAATTAGTTTAAATTATGTTTAAATGTCCGAAACAAAATAAAAATTAAGTGTGGCATATCATTGTACTCAGGGGACCGAGTTCTTTCAGGTCCGTATTTAAAAAAAAATAAGTCGGCCTCTGTATCTCACAAATTATCAGCTAATTTGAAAATCTAAAAAGAACTGTCAGAAAGCCCTAGCAAAGTGGCTATGAGAATGCGCAATTATTTTTTTGATTTTCTAAAAAATAACGACAAGAAAAAAATAATTTTCAAAAAAATCCGTTTTTTTCCAAAAAACTCAGCAATCTTTAAAAACTTTTTTGATAGCATATTGGTGAACATCCTAAAACGCAACTTTGCCTCAATTTAACCATGTTCTATTGCGGTTACCGAGATACCAATGCTCGTATCCCGAATTTGTAGCACCCTGTATAATGTAACCCCTATTGCTGGTACATATTTTGTACATTGAGCCTATATATAACACCTTATAATTTTGTTAAAGGCCGCCGCACATTTCCTACTATCGGATCCGACTATCTGAAACGATTTTGAATCGGACGACTACCGCACACTGGCGACAAAATATTTCCGTTTTATATTTTTTTATAACTAACTAGCGTATACCAGTGACTTCGTTCGCGTCGATTAATCATTTGTAAGGGTGATGATAAAGCAAAGCAAGAATTTCCATTAACATACAAACTGGATAAAATTTTCTCACATTTATGTCAGAATGAGAAAAAACAATATGGCGATATTATTATATAACTTGCTAATATTTGAGGGGTAGTTTCATCTAGTTGGAATTTGACTTTGGAGAAATCCGTTTGCCAAAAATAAGCTTTTTACGTCAAGCAGTTTTAGCAGAATCGTGGTTAAGAAATTACCCAACTTTTTGGAACACCCTGTATGATTTTTTAAAAAAATTCAAAATATGTAAAAAAACCAAATAAATTATGCTTGTGCAAGCGTTTTCCCGAAAGGCTAACGGTCTTATAAATAACAAATATTGTAATATTTGAGGGGCGTTTTCACCCTCTTGGAATTTGAGATTCGAGAAACCCCTCCTTATCGAACCTCTACACCCCACAGTCAATCCGTTTACCAAAAATCAGCTTTAAACGTCAAGCAGTTTAAGCAGAATCGTGATTACTCAATGGTCATATTTTATGAAACACCCTGTATAAATTTATAAAAAGTCTTAAAATATGTAAAACAACAAAATAAAATATACGTGTTTAAGAGTTTTTCCGAAAAACTCACCGGTTTTTAAATAAAAAAATATTTTAATATTTGAGGGATAGTTTCACCCCCTTAGAATTCGAGTTTCGAAAAATCTTTTCTTATCGAACCTCTACACCCTAAAGTCAATCTGTTTTCCAAAAATCAGCTTTTGATCAGCGCTTGTAATTAATCAATGACCAGATTTTTCGAAACAAAATAAAATATACGTGTTTAAGCGTTTTTTCGGAAACTTGACCGTTTTTTAAATAAAAAATATTATAATATTTGAGGGGTGGTTTCACCCTCTTGGAACTGGAATTTCGAAAAATCCCTTCTTATCGAACCTCTACACCCTAGAATCAACCTGTCTGCCAAAATTGAGCTTTTTACGTTGAGTGGTTTGAGCAGGATCGTGATTAATCAGTATGTCAGTCACTTAAGCATTTTATATATTAGTATAGATTAATAATAAAAGAAGCCTGCACTGAGCAACTTACGCATCAAAAGTGACAAAAATAATCGTACGTTTGCCGTACAAGATACAAAAACAATGCATAGAACACTTGTGTCTAGCCCTAGCAGGCAACTATTAAGCCCGACCAATCACGTTAGAGTTTTTGACAAACACAAATGAATTAACACACTCCAAATAACCACGCTAACCAACCTGATTGGTCAAGCTTAATAGTTGGCTGCTAGGACTAGACACTTCTGCATAGAACACCTTCCGGCTGTCGGATCAGATTTTTTGTCGGTCCGACCAGTACGACGACTAGCGATGGGAACTATCGAATGAATTAGACTATCGAATGGTTAATGAATGAATGATTTCAACTATCGAATGGTTTTATTCGAATAAAATCATTCATTCATTTGTATACTAAAGCATATGTGACAAACTCCTTCCGCCGTGCGACTAAATGGTTATCGTTGAGCCACGACTATCGAATGCTTTTGATAAATGAAATTTAGTATTCGTTTGATTTTTGTATGCGTCAGTGCATTATTAGTTCTTCCAAATTTTTATAACTTCGCCGTATAAAGACTGTGCTATTTTTTATGTTTATTAAAATAGTTAAAATACTAAAATAGTAGTTATTTTTTAATTTTATTTATTGACGATTGTGTGTATGTGCAGGTGGTCAAAAATTTTTCCCGAAAATTTGTGTGTGGTTTTCCGTAGTCCGATCTTTCAATTATTTAATTTTATATGGTATATGGTCTATTTTTTAATGGGAAATTTTGAGAAGTAGCAATTTTTAAGAGAGATGAGATGAACTTACAATTAATTTTAAAAATACATATTTGTATTTTAGACGTTTTAATAATATGAATTAGTTGGAACTTCTTGGTAATAATCATATTTAAGTAATGTGGTTAAGTAAATGGTTATCGAACTCAAACTATGGGGTGAGAAAATTAAAATGAAAGTTTTACACGTGCCAATTTTAAAAAAAAGTTAACGATGTTTGTATTTTGTTTATGCTAATTCTCTTACATGTAGTTTTTTGCGAAGAAATATTTCATTTATTTTTTAAAGTAAATGCCAGTAAAAGTAAATATTTTTAAATAGAAATATAAAGTACCTAATATAAATAATTTTGATTTCTAATTTTTTATTTACATTTTCGTTCCATTACACTGCATGCTTAGAAAATTAATAAATGTTTATATTTCATGATTTTAAAAGTTGTTGTTAATATAACAAATTAGTTCTGTAATTATTATTTAATAAACCAACGTTGCCAAAAAATTTAGATACTATATTATTTTTAAATAGGATCTAATATAAATAATTTTGACATCTAATTTGTTGTTTATATTTTGTTACTACTTAAAAACATATTTATATTAAATCATTTTAAATTTTGTTGTTAATAGGTATAACAAATTATTACTGTTATTATTATTTATTAAACCAGTCTTTGCTTAAAAACATTAAAAATCATTTTCTTACATCCAAAATATCAAGTATTATTGCAGTGTAACAACAGAATATTAATTAAAAAAATGCAGAATATATAGACATACTATCCCTAACTAACTAAAGCCAAACAATAATATTCATTGCTAATATCAACTAATACCAAAATATGGCAACAGCGCCCTTCATAATGTATTTTCTGTGTAAATACTAGCACCTCAATAAAAAAAATAATGTGTGCTTATCTATATCTGACTCCGCAAAAAATCAAAGATACCGGCTTCTTTCATAGCAATTTCGTAGCATTGCAGTAGGTATGGGGCCACCTTAGCCCAAGGTCAACCCCCATTTTCTCCCTAAATTTAGGGAAATTTTCCCGTCCATAGCGGCCCACCCTATGTAAATCTTATAACATGGGTTATATGTAATTTCCCTAAATCTTCTGATTTTTAGATTTGGCAACGTCGCATTTCATTATACATCCGGCAACGCTGTACGTAGTCGCCGACCGCCATCTAGCGCCTAACTCCGGAACTACCAAGCGCCACCTATCGGGTAGCTCAAAGAAGGTAACTGTAATTTGGGCTCCATTGTTCTTCATCGGTTTAAAGCTGTCTCAAAGGTATAGACCGTAGGTACAATTAAATAACGACTATGTCAAATATCCTAGTCATTATTTAATTGTACTCCCACGCCTTATACCTATTAACCACAGGTGTAAGAATATACCAAAAATGTATTATTAACTAATTATGCATTAACAATGGTGTTTATTAAAAAAAACATAAAACAAAACAGTAGTAATTAAACTATTTATGATACGATTTCCTATAAAAAATAGAGATTAAAGGAAAAAGTTTTCATTTAAATCAGGTAAACAACCGCTGGTCATCTGTCATCGACTTCGGCAAACATCGGTTATTTTCGTGTAACTTTAAAATATTTACACAACGGCCATATTGGGGTGTGGTCTTTCCTATACCATGTACCCTTATCCCAACAGAAAAAATATCACTTAAAATGAAAAATACGCTATAATAATAATTTACTATGGAATAAAATTAATTTAAGCTTGAACCATTAAAACTTATAGATGGAATAAAAATAATAACTAAAATATGTTTTTCTATAAACACCCATATACCATCACGCTATAGGCCCATGTACAAATTTGCCGAAAAAATAGGTTTATTACCATAAAAACACACAGAGACCTTAAAAATACGGACCTACCTGAGTTTACAGTTATTATCCACATACTCCGTTAAACAGGCACTTAACACACGAAAATCACTCTTCGATATCACACACTTTTAAGCCCTTTTCACTAAACACACTCAAAATACACAGAAAATTTCTTGATTCCAAAACCGTTAGAAGTTAGAAATGAACTAAAAAGCGACCAAATGTATACGACCGGCGATTAAATTGGTTTTCTATACACGGAAGTTACCGATAAGACCGCTAACACGCTTTACCACAAACAGAAATATGTAT